CATTAAGGCGGTGTGTGATGCTTCTAGAATTATACTGTGGCTCCCAAGATAAGCACCAACAGGAGAGGGTTTATTTACTCTCACGCATCATATGCAAATATAACAAGACAGACAGAATGAGAGGAAATTGAGAGCCATACATCTCTTTTTCAAGCTGTTTACAGATGAAATCCTTGGTATGCGCTGTAACCTTCTCTGTCTTGTTACAGCAAATCAGAACAGGAACCTTCTTTTTCACCACACTTGCTTTGGTCAGAATATCATACAAATACCTGTCACGCACAAAACAAAACACCATTAGAAACCAGTGTCTCCGATCATGCAAACAAAAGGAGATCAGATGTGTAATCCATTAAGGGAGTTGATATAAACATACTCTGAAACTCCACGAAGGTTAGGTAAGAACTCCAGGGCATCAACGACAAAGACAATTCCTGCTGCTTCAGGCAAGAACTCATCTAGCTTTGGCCGAAGACGAGGATGGCCAGGAACATCAACAATGTGGACAGGCTTCACCTTGCGCTCCTGTCAAGGAAACAAAAGAAAAAAGGCAAGCAAACACAGTAATTGTAGGAGCATTCAGTTCATCATATGATCGACAAGGAGAGCATAGATTATATAAACCAAATGCCCACTGGCGTGACAGGTTTTTGTAACTTTCTGTCGACATTGGCTCTGGCATGAATCTGGGCATTTCAAATTAAAGCTTACCTTGCTAGCTTCACAATGGAGAATGAAAGTTCCTTCATTGGGTTCCATTGAGGTGACAGTACCCTGGTGTGAAGAGCCATCCCGAAGCTATCGAAGAAGGGAAACAATCAGAACCAGGTATGTCAGAAATCAAAGAACATAATGTATGACAGGAGTCCTCACCTGATAGAAAAGAATCGTTTTACCACTCCCACTGAGTCCGGTCAAGACAACGGTATTAGATCTCGGCCGTCTAAACAAGCTGACTGCACAACAGAAAAGGGAACGAAGAAGAAGGAACATATCAGACACCATTCTCATTCTTACATTTCACAGGAATTTGGTCAAAGCTCAGTCATTGCCACCCAGCAGCGATAAATTCTTAACACTCACCATAGCATAGGTTCATCAATCAATTACCAATCAGGTATAAGAACTTAAATCAACAGCCTATCCCTAGTCAGACTCACTGATCGTCCAAACAGATAGACAAGAAAGCACTGCATTCTTGGACCTGAACGTCAAACCCTCGAGAATTTTACAAAAGGGTACAATACAAGAAGGATTACCGAGAATGAAGAAAAGGGCAGTGAAAACCAGGACGGCAGCAGCGGAGTAGAGCTGAACTGGGGGTATCTGACGGCCGTATTCAATCCCTTTCTGAATTGCCGGTATCTGGGAGGCGTATTCAATCCCTTGCTGAATTGCCGGCACCTGACTGATGTACTCGATCCCTTGCTGAATAAATTGCTCCACCTCGCTCTTCCACTGCTCAATCCCTTCCATTGAGAGATGATGACGACGACAAGATTCCTGCAGCCCAAAGAAAAGTTTCGAAATTTTCAGCCGACCCACATCCCAGATTCACTCACTGAGACTTTTCAGATGATTTCTCGACCTTCTTGGGAAAATATGGGCAGCTCGAGTTGGCTTACCGGCTAGAGAAAAGCAGAGATATAGGCGCTGCTACTCCGGTAGTCCCCGAGGTCGCCTGTAAAGCGGATTTCCAAGCTGTGTTTTGGCTTGTGCAAGTGAAGACTCAAGTTTTCGATCTGTGTAGCTTTGCCATTGTTTGGCAAGGAGAAAAAAAAGAGTGATGAATGAAGAAAGTTCGCGGACTTCGAAGCCTGGCCCAGAGCCCAAACCACTTGCCTGATGAAGGGCTCGATCGTGTAAACGTCCATGAACGAGAATTGGGCTGGTCAAACTGTAATCTGGGCAATCTGGCCCATGGCCAGCAAGTCACCATCCTCTTCCTGCTCCCAACTTTCTGAATTCACTGACAAACTGATAAGCAATAATTAATTAGCTAGGTCACAATGTATATTAAAAATGGTTTGTGAATTGTGACCCTGTAAGCCCATTACTGTGGAAAATTCGATAAAATAATTAATTGGGTCGGTCATGTCACTGTACGTTGAATGTTTGGGGTGGGTTGTAGGTTGGGAAACGGTGCGGTCTGGTCCATACCAGACCATATATACGGTCTATAGTCTAGACCGAGAGGTTGGAACATAGACTATAGGCTAGACTACAAACTATACGGTCCAGATAGACCAAAAATTAACAATTTGATTAGTCACCACACAAAAAAAAATTGAACCAATAGTCCAGAAAAAATTATTATTTTTTCCTTCAAACATATATTCCAATATGCATGAATAATTTTGACACTATAAATCTAAGTACATAATAAAGATACAAAGTCAAAGCATCACAACTTGTACCATAAGTCCATAATAGCATAAACATTTACATAATGTCATATAGAGACACGATCATCTATCCTCTATTGTAGCCAGCTTCACTAAATTTTTTTTGTTTTTTTAAGTTCAAGCTGAAATGAAGAATACACAATATTCGACTAAAAAGTAATGTATTAAAAAGAATACACAATACCCATTTAGATCTCAATCATTTGTTTGATAAAAGGGCTTGATATTGGTTACAAATTTTTCCTAAGTATGAGGTTATGTATTTCAAATATGACTTAATTTTATTTTTTTTTTGACCAAAGATAGCTTGTATTACCAAGAATAACAAAGATACAACGTTCAGACCTCCGAACGGAGTCAAGCGCAAAAATCAAAACTGCTCAGAATGGGCAGGGACAAAGAGAGGGCTTTTCTAGCCACTAAATGGGCTACCATATTGTTCTGTCTGCCTACAAAGTGCACAGAGAATCCTGGCTGATCACGGAGCAGTAGCTTGACCTCCTCCAAAAAAGCCTCGCCAAGCGCATCATTAACCACCCCTGCTCTGACTTTGTCGATGATCCTCACACACACTCGGGGAAAGAACCATGCCAAAAAAATATAATAAGAAATAAAATCAAAATTGTATTAGAGAAAAAGTAAATGCAACATCTTTTATAAGCATGTATGAAAGAAAAAAAGTATGTCAAAAAGAAAAAGAAAGTGATTGCAATCACATTAATGTGGCAAAATGTATTATTAAGCAAATGCTTATGTGGCAAAATGTTTCTTCACAATCATCTAATATAAGTTAAGATAAGATAAATTTTTTATTCAATAATTTTAATGACTAAAAATAAAACTAGTTTTAAAATTAACAAACAATTGACTCTATTCAATAACTAATAACTATAGCAGATCGACCATCATCTAGGTTGAGAAATCACAAAACAATTTACCAATTTTACATAGGAATGACAATTTGAACCTACTTTGACTCGCGATGATGGGCGGGTATTATCCGACTCGCAGTAGAATGGGGTGGGGCATGAGCATGGTTGTCATGCCGGTTGGCGTGCCACTAGTTAAACCTGGTTCAACCTGTACCGGTCATAAAACCGGCATGACATCACCGATATGACCGGCATAATCGATATACGAATCTCCAAGTAAAATGATCTTATCTTAGTGAATTTAATTGATAAAAAGTAATTTTTATTTGTTTAATGTGTTAAAAAGTTGTATGTTGATGTTATTTGTTGGATTCAAGTACAAATATTTAGGTATTTACGTTAAATGTCATGTTTAAATATGAGTGTTTGTAAATTATTTGTAATATTAACCAGTATGAACCGGCACAAACCGATATGTACCACCGGTCGAACCATTCCACTTGCTAAACCGGCACACTGGCAAAAACCGGTTTGACAACCTTGGGCATGAGTATCTACTTCCGACCCGCCCTGCCCTGTACGCCTCGTTTTGGCTTACCCTATCTCAATTTCGTATAGTATTTATTGATATTTCTCTTATTTTGACTTTTCTTCAACTAGTTAGACTTTATCTTTCAACTAGTGAGCCTCAAATACTCATTTTATTATCACTTTTTCATTAATATAGAGTGTTTTCTCTTCGTTTTATAATAAAAAGTAAACTTTTGTGTGAATTTTTTCCCCAATTAAGTGGGTCGACTCGTCCCGTCCCATACGCACACAAATGTTACCCATCTCAACTCAGACGTAGTGCGAGATAGGAATGACAATGGGCCGGTTTGAGCTGCGTTTTGTCAACCTGAACCCAAACCCATGGGTATATCTATAAAAAAAAACTAGGGTAAAACCCAACGGATTTGGAAAACTCAATCTTCCCATACAAATTATTTGTACAAAAAACACCAATCTAGAGCATACAAGCAAACCACAAATTATCCATACAAATTGTTCAACATTAAAGATAAACATCCATAAACAACATTATTAATTGAAAGTTCTCATTGTCAACTAAGCTTCTTCACTCACTCTACACTCCATAATTTCAACTTCTTTCTATAAGAACAAATTAGATGGGTACGGGTTGGAACGAGTTGGATATGGCTAAACCCTAACCCAATCCACCTGCAAAATAGTAGGACGAGTTTAAATCCGAACTCGATCCGTAATCCGTCAACACGGACTTTACTCGCTTTGACTGGGTTGAATCGGGTAGGATATTCATGAATAGAATTATGTTACGATAGGAAAACATCTCTTGCCACGTTAGGTGACCAGTTTATTTACGCCATTTTGTGCTCATTCACATAATACTATGATGATTTACGTACGAGTGTAAGTTTTTCACGTAAATGGAAATTCATACTTTTTCCTCCTAATAATTTGTATTGGCTATATTTTATGGAATCAAATTTGGATTATCATTTAATCTGTAAAAAATTTGTTGCATTGATCATAATCTACGTAATGACATGTTTTGATATATTTCAAAGAAATATTATTTTACAACAACGTGATGACCTAACAATAATGATTATGTAAATAATCAACACACTTATGTAAATAATGCAAATACTATGTGAATAACACATATATAACGTGAATAACACAAATATGATGTGAATAACTCAAAATTATGTGTTTTGTGACAAGAGACATGAGTATTGAGTTACCGCATCACTAACTCTACCGGTAAATAAATAATTAGGGGGTCGTTTGGCGGACTGTAGAACAGCTGAAACAGCGAGTAGGGAAGAAAAAGGTTGAAACTTGAAAACTACTTTCAGAGTTCCGACCGGTTGCTGCCGCCGCTACCTGAGGAGATGGCACTGTTGATGGAGAAAGGTTCCAAACCCACTACTGATTCTGAGGTCAGTGACCTTGAAGGTATCGCCGCTCTCAAACAGTCTACTGCTGTTGAGCTCAAGGTATGGTCTCCTCTCGTCTTGCTGCTCCTCCTCTCGCAACTTTCTCTTCCTACTTGTATTTATTGTCGCGAGAATTCCATCTCCTGGACCTGAACCTGAACCAGTAACCAATTTTAACAACCATTAGTTGAAATTTGATGCCTTTCATGGTTCATAGGGTCGAAAGTTCACCGTCCTGACATAATATTCTTCAAATTGAGCAAACCCCTTTTATAGAGTAGTCCTTCATTTTGGCGGTGTGGAGGCGAACCCCTTTATGCCATTGGTTTATCCTCAGACTTACTGATTAACTGTGCTGCAATTCCAGGAGCAAGGTAACCAGTATGTCAAGATGGGAAAGAAACATTATTCTGAGGCCATTAACTGCTACACGAGGGCAATAAACCAGCAAGCTCTTACCGACTCTGAGACCTCTCTTCTGTACTCAAATAGATCCCATGTTAATCTACTTCTGGGAAACTATAGGCGTGCCATTACGGATGCTGAAGAGGCAATTAAGCTTTGCCCCAGCAATGTTAAGGTGGGGTGGTTTAGTTTTCCAAAGTGCTGTTCTTTTTGTGCTTTGTAATGGGTTGCCCGCGTTCATGTTGGATGCTTTTGTGTTTTCATTAGGCATTCTATCGTGCTGCCAAAGCATCGCTGTCCTTGAATTTGTTGAGTGAAGCAAAATATTTTGCCGAGAAGGGACTAGAGCTAGATTCAAGTAACGTTGAACTGGAGAAACTTGTTAGGCAGATAAGTGCACTGAAGATGGAACAGGATAAGCAACAGGCTGAGATTAACAAGGCCCTAGCAGTGGCTAAGGTTTGATTCCTGGAACGCAGAGAAATCCAAAGTATGCTTGTGAGAAAAGTTGGGAGGCTAATGGATTTGCCTTTTGTTGAAACTTTTCAGGATCTTGTTTCAGCATTTGGAGACAGAGGATTGAAGATGGGCAAGGCTATGTATCGAGAACTTACTGGTTTGAAGAAACCTGTGTTAGATAAGAATAAGATTATGCACTGGCCGGTTCTTTTTCTCTATGCAGAGGTTATGTACAGCAACTTCATAGAAGATTTCTGTGAGATGGATACATTTTCCATGCATCTCGATATGATATCCTTATCCTCCTAAAATTGGCTGATTTTATCTTGCTTTTTTATGCTTTATCGATCTATCCATACATCATCTATGACATCCTTAGCTTTCAAACATGTATTCAGAAAGTAGTCCACCGTTACCCTGGGATACAGAAAATAATTATACTCGTGAAGAAATTGAACTTTACTATGAGGTATACTATCTAGTGTAGTTTGCTTTGGTCCATCATCCTCAACTCTGACCGCCAGTTTCTAACCTTTATGTCACTTACTCATCAGGTAGGTTCTGGGGTTTGTCTTCCAGAGACTAAAGTTCTTCAATATCTGCTAGAAGGGACAGCTGGTGCTAATATCGAGTGTGAAAAAGAAGAGAAGGATACAAGTGAGCATGGCTTTTCAAGAGGTTGTATTCTCTTACCATCTTTGCTCTTTACTTGCCCTTTGTTCTGATCATAACCGTGTGGGCACCTAGAAATCTACTGCACTAAAACGATAGATCCATGTAGCATATTGTCACATAAAAATTATGTTGCCTAGGTGTGTTTTAAGTTTGCTCAAGAGAAATAGAGCTGCAGGAATTTAGAAGAAAATAGAGGAAATTAGGGTATTTTGACAGAGGTAGGATGGGGAGCACCACCACGCCCATCTGTGATAAGGTCGGGTAACTTACTGCGACAACCTCCTGCCACAAGGAAGACTCTTCTATAGTTCTGAAAATTTTATGAAAATCTGGTACTTAGAAACTGACACACAAGCCCTATTACAAAGAGAGGCTGTTAGCAACATAGTTGTTTACTACAACTAGGTAATTGAAATTTTGCATCTTCCTTAAGGTTGGCAGCAGCTGACTCAGCTCTTCGAGCCACGAGAGTGTTCGTAACAACAAAACAAGTTGTTTCATCTCATCTAAATTCCCATAACCACTCATTGATTTCCTCCTCACTCTCTTCGTTCCTGAATGTATCGTGATGGTTGTTGCTCATTTAAGGCTGGTCAGCAGCTGACTCAGCTCTTCGAGCCTCGAGAGTGTTCTTAACAACAAAACAAGTTGTTTCGTCTCATCTAAATTCCCATAACCACTCATTGATTTCCTCCTCACTCTCTTTGTTCCTGAATGTATCGTGATGGTTGTTGCTCATTTAAATTGGGCATAACCTTTTATTGTGTTACCAAAACGAGAGCTAGATCTTCGTGGTCCTTGGACTTTTCATACTTTAAGTCCTTTAAATAATGGTTTGATCTGCGATATTTTAATTTCCCAATTTCAATATAGCAAATCATTTTTGATGCAAAATCCTTGTGATCATTGTTCTCAGGAGACGCCATTACTAAGTGGGTCAAAGTGCACGAAACGAGAAAGCTTCTTGACGTGATTCAAGAACCTGGCTTCATCATCTCAGAAATCCCAGGTCTGCTTTCAGCTCCTGGACGAATGCTTTTCAAATTCTGTTTTATCTTTTGAGCGCTTAAAATTTTTCTTGCTAGAAGAATATCAGAAAGATTGACCTTTTTGCCGTACTTGTCAGCTGCTCACCCTATTTGCTCCTGCACTCTATGCAGTTTTCTACGTCGTTTCAAAGCGCTCCAGCTTCTATGAAAAGTTCAAAGCTGGGAAATGGAGACTTCCCTGATATGCTTAGTTTTGCTCAAGATGGCAAGTAATGTGGTTTAGATACACAATGCGATGTAAAGGGCTACGAGCGGCATTGACAGGGACACGCATAGAGCATTGCTGTTACCAAGGGACGAGACTCGATTTTACAAAGAAGAGCACTGTCCAGATCCATTGGCCTCCACAGGGAAACAAGCATATCTATAGGTGCTAGCAGGTGGTATTCTGTTGTGATAATGTAAGGGTTACGATCGCAACAAAGAACAATCAAATGTAGGAATTTCGTGTTGCTTGTCTATTTGCCTCTAATCGTTTGACGGTTCGGGATAATTGGTTCCGATTTCCAAACCAGTAACATATCGAAGTTTAAGCTAAGGTGAATCCTTCATTCCATGTACTGAGAAATTTATGAAATGAGCTTCATGGTATGTGCTTACCGAAATCATTTAAGAAGTGAAACTACAGCACCGGAGCACCATAGTGCTCGAATTGGACATCTTGTAGAAGTTTATGACCATTTTGATTACCAGACGAACTTGTGTGACCATGTTGGACAAATACCTGCTATTATATTTATCCGATACAATTTGGAGCGGGCGGGAACTGCAGCCCATGGCCCTTCATTTCCAACAATAAGAGCCCATGGATTTGGATCAAAGCCCAAACCCACGCCGGTCTCCTCCTCAATCCTGAAGCCCTAGTTTTGCTTTCCCGCCGTTGCCTCCAGCTCCAAAGCGCCCTCCGAGCCCTCTCCGCCTGCCGACTGTTTACTGCTGCCGTGACATCCGTCGCCTCGTCTCTTGTCTCCCGTCGCCGCGCACCGCCGGAATCTTTCTCTGATCCACCCTCTTTGATAGTATCAATACCCAGATTGACAAGCCGGACTATTGTCGAGAACTCTCGGTACCTTTTCATACTCCTTACTCATTGCGGGAGCTCTTGAATTTCTTTTGCGTAGATGATATGGTTTTGAGAAAGAAAAACAAAACAAGTGTTTTCTCACCAACGCTTTTGCTTACTTTAACTCTTCCGTTCGGTTTTGGCCCAACTTTCTCCCATTCTGCCTTTATGTTTTGCTGATAGTTGAGCTTAAGATGGTGATGGGCATTCTACAGTTAGCCTTATTAGACCTGCGTTTGTGTGAAGCATCTTCTGTGAGTAATGTTGTAGCTTGAATTTCTAACCCATCTCATTGCTGTGGAATAACAGTGGTTTATTCTTTTTCTTTGCCACTTTACCTGTTTTCTCCAATTGGCTATTCATTGTACAATCCTCCCATCTTTTATGCTAGATTACAGTATGAATAATAAGTTGAAATGGTTAAAGAGAATGTGGGCTTGTATACTTTGCTGTGTATGATGCTAATTGCTACATAATTTCATTTGTTGGGAAGTACAGAACCCACATGGTCTTAAACTGCTCAATACAGGCTGATTTTTACACATTTCTAAGTTTACTACACTACGCAATCCACATCTTATGATTAAAGAAGATGGCTGCTGATGCATGTTTTTATAATGTAATAAACAGATAGATAAGGAATAAAATTGGCAATGGGGTTGCTGGACTCATCTGGGGACTTGTCAGCGGAGATGGAAGTGGATGCATTCAGGCGTCTCTTCCCACTACGCTACTATGAGCGCCATCTTGCCGAATCTATACGACCTGATGGTCGGCCTCTTGGAAGGGCTAGAGATACTACAGTGGCCTTGGGTGAGTGCCTCATTTTTATTTTCTTGTTGCCGCTTTATGATCCTGTACAGCTTTTTATTCTTATTTTTCTAATCCAATTGAAGACAATTTCTATCAGGGGCTGTTTCTTCTGCTGATGGATCCGCTCTCGCAAAGATTGGCTCTACTGTAGGTGGCATCTCCCTCTCGTGTATGTTGTCACTGATGCATTTGTTTTATGTTTGGAAACATGGAAGATAAAACCACAAATCCTTCTCTATTTGTCTGTCTGTTTTCAGACAATGCTTGCTGCCATAAAAATGGAAGTCATGACTCCTTCCGCAGAATCACCTGATGAGGGGTGTATAGGTATGTTGAACCTGGTAATGATTTGTGCTTCTGTTTGCGATGTCTTTCGACTGTTAAGTTGTAATCCATTGGACGTATGTAACATGCAGCTATTGAGTTCCACATGCCACCAATTTGCTCTCCCATTGTTAGGCCCGGCAGGCCTGCTGAAGCAGCAGTAGTTGTGTCAAAGCAACTGTCTGACACCATTTTGAGGTACGAAAGAATGTAATCATTTGATGTTCAACTTGTATTGGATGATGTAGTTTTTTGTTTTCATCAAATTTATAGTATTTATGAGAATGAAACAGTACTGGATAGCCACTATTCATACCAGAAAAGGCTACGGACATGTCTGATTAAGTATTTCTAAATGAAGCAACTGGCCATTGTAGCATCATGTCTGATTATGCTCTCCTGTTTCAATCTGGTGATATTTATGCTACCTAAGTTGTCAGACAAAAAAGGATTGGGCTGGGATGAATGGTATCATGTTAGTTGCTTGATTGACTGTCTGAAAGTTGCATGCTTTAGAATGCAAGCACGTCTTTCCCAAGTCTTGTGCTAAGAGCCCAGTCTATGGAATGTGAGCCATGGGTACCTTGAACTTGCCAAGCAGATCTAATTCTGTACTCGATGGGGTTAATGAAAAAGCTTTTTCTTTTCAATTGGATAAACTGAACACAATGATTGCATTCTTGTACTAGCGTTCGTTCATGATAAGGAAGAACCATCTGTCTGGTCTTTGCAGTTCTGGGATGATTGATCTGAAGGAACTTGCTTTGGTCAGTGGAAAAGCTGCTTGGATGGCTTACTTGGTAAGCAGAAATGATTTCCGAGATTTTTGTTTCAAGCTTCTTCACGAGACATGCCAACTATACGATTCTTTCCTACATTCTTAACTCTTTGACAGTCACAAGACGTCATCGCTGACCTTACTTCCATAACTGCTATCTGCTGGGTGACAAACTTGCATAAAATCTCAATTGCAGGACATATATTGTTTAGATGCCGATGGTGCACTTTTTGATGCAGCATTGCTTTCAGCCGTGGCTGCATTCTCCCACTGTAAACACTTGTCTCCCTTCCTAATAGTTCCTACTTCGTACACGTTACTGCTTTCCCTAATCCATGTGTCCGCTCGGTATTCTCTTGCAGTGCAAATCCCAGTAGTTTCGGTGAATGACAAAGGAAAAATAGTAGCCTTCACAGAGGAAGGTGATGGGAGGAAGTTGGAGAAAGAAGCAGTTAACAAAGAGAAGATAAAACTAACCCTCGGCAGCATCCCTTTCTCACTTACATGTGCACTACATAAGAAGTACATCTTGGCAGACCCCACGTCAGAAGAAGAATCCATCATGGAAACTCTTGTGACGGTGGTCATGGACTCGTCCGACAGACTTGTCTCGTTCTACAAACCTGGTGGACCCGCTCTTGCCTATACTTCTCTTGTTACAGTGAGTCTGATTACATAGTGGCTTCATTTTTCACGACACAGTTTGAACGAACTTGCGAAGAACACTAAAGCTTGGCTACGTTCCTGTTTGGTTGCAGGATTGTGTAGCGTTGACGAGGCACAGAATGAAAGAACTTGAGAAGATCCTCGACGAAGCCTTTTCAGGGATGGAGGTTGACTAGGTGTGCGGTGTGCCTACCCATTTGAGTTTATTTTTACGTTGAGGATGGATTGATGAATACTAGTGCATTCCACCCGGTTGGTTGTTCTTTTGATGTTCTCAGCGCAGCAAGGACTGCTGAATTGCAGAACCACCAGAATTGTTGTCCCCTGTTCGAATACGTGCAGTCCTAACTTCACAATTTTTGTGTTTTGGTCGTGGTGAGGTTGGGTCGGGTAGGGTTAGGGTATGGGGGTGTGTAGAAAAGAAATTAGGTTTTTTTTAATGAATGTAATAATGAGGTGAAAAATATAAATTTTTTTTTTATTTTTAATATTTTTTAGAAACCACGTCGCATATTTAATGGTCAATTATGAAAGTTGACTGCCACGTAAGCTAGAGTTAACGGAAAAGGACGGAGAGTGACCAAACTTGAACCATTTTACTAAGTTTAGTGACCAAAATTGGATTTAAATATTTCCTGTGATCAATCATAATTAACCCAAAAAAAAGAGTTGCCAAATGAATGGAGCTCACAAATTTGAAACTTTTTTAGTTGCTAATCCGCCAACCTTATAAATTTGGAAACCCCCTATATAAATAAATATCCCCTTATTGAGTGTCCATTCTCTATCATCATTGTATTCATTGACCCTCTCATAATTAGCGTTGCAGGTAAGAAAAAAAAAATGTCACGCATAATATTAATATGACACAAGTGACAAGATACATAGCCATCAAAAGACCTCCCAGATGTCAGGATAAGCATCATTGTCCACTTCGTTGTTGACCCCTCCAAGTTTGTAGAACACCGAATTAATCATACTCGTAGTTTTTGGAGCTCTCATTGAAACTCCAGACAAATAAGAATAACATTAGGTGGATGAACAAAGTGCAATGTTAAGTCCGCAAGCAGTACCGAGTTGAAAGGAAAACTATACTTCGCATGCAGCAACCTGTTTTTGGCTTTTCGACGAAGTAAACGAGCATTGTCGTCTTTCTTCCACTCTCTTTCGACATATATAGCTTGTACGCCAAGCTTTTCCCCCTTTCTTTCCTTGTGTTTGCCTCGCTCTCCACGGAACTATAGCCCGTCATTTGACAGCTTGTCATAGGGCAATGGCCTTCAGAACTTGGTGTCAATGGAAAAAGTGGGAATATAATGCTTCGAGTTAATGGCAGCAATGACTTCTACCTCGGTGTATTAGTTCTCTTTTCTTTCTACGTTCTGTCAGTTCAAAGTAAGACTGTAAGATTAGTTCCATAACTTTCTCCTCAAGCGATTACAATACCCATGGTGAACCACTACCATTTCTATGTCAACAATTTTGCTTCTACTTAAAGTTTCAACACAAAGAAACAATTACCACACACCAAAAGAAAAGCCACCATTGTGCAAAATACCAATCCCCCACCAGCAGGCTGCCAAAAAGACAACTACAAAGGTGCATTCTCCACGTACAACACTTCTGTCTGCACTTTGAATGAGCGGAATCTTAATGTACCAAATCAGCAAATCCATTCAGTCAATCAAAGTGAAGTCCGACCTAACAGTATTACCCAGGGAATGGGAAGAACTTGGATATATGACATTCCTACAAATCTGTATTTCGTCTACTCTCCAACATCCATCTACATACAGCCAAGGACAGGAACTGTTTCTACAGATAAATAGGACAAGTCACAACTCTGCGCCATAGAACAATGATTATACAGATATAGAGTCAGAATTTTGGCAGCATCCAGTTAAAGATGTGCCAACAATGTCGGAAAGCTGCAATTCCAGCTCATTGTTTTGCATCCTTTGCCCATTTGGTGCGAGTCTCTGGATTCTGTCACTGGAAATCTTAGTGCTTATCTATTTTCCTTGAGGAGTAAATTGCTGCTGTCAAACCCTAGGTGTACTGCATGAAGCCAATAACACTCATGGTAACTAACAATGACCAAACCATATTTGAAGATTGATACTCGTATAAACCAGAGCCCAGAACAGATGAAACCCCATTCTGCTACCTAGTTCCTCCAGCTATCAGAGATCAGATGCCTTCATTTTTCTTGGCCGCTTATTAGCTGGAGATGATGGTGTCTCAGATACCCTTCCAGGTCCCTTCACGAGGAAAGTCGCAAGTTAAAAGAGCCAAATCAGCTCTCTGCGAAGAAGATATGCTGAAGCTGCAATATGAACAACTATGTGTGGTAAAGAAACTTTTTTTACCTTGCGTTTCGGGTCCTTTCGACCACCTCTTTCACCTGGCATCAGAGGAAGGAAAAAGAATGACGGAGGAGCATAGGTTGGCAGATAGCATGTGTCTTATAATAAACTGAAAGAGAGATTAGACAAATACTAAATGGACCAACCACATAAGCAAGTATTACCTCCAAAACTCATCGCATCAGGAATAAATGTCCGATCATGATCACGTACTTGACGCTGTTGAAAAGCATTCAAATCATATCAATCCAGGTGACAATTGTAGCCATTGATGGATAGCAACATCAAATGGTAACAGACAAGCATACAGTTCACTGACCTTTGGTGTACCAGGCATTTCTGAATAGGTAGTACCCTCACGTAATGATGAACCTTCTGCCTCCTTGTATTGCAACTGATTGTCAAATGAAATACAGAATACTAGTAAGAAAGACATTACACAAGCAGAGTATAATTACCGTTAGTCTGAACCCAATAGAAACAAAGCCCAAACAAGAAAACAAGGGTAATGGGGCAATCACTCAAAAGAAATCAACTAGTTGTACATTAGGCGACACAATAAAATCATAATAAGTAGCAGAGGGAAATTTCGGATACGCTTACCTGTTTTTGGAGGTTTAGTAGGGTCAATATTTCCTTTCTCAACTCCAGGTGTTCAGCACAGACGGCTTTGGTTGGCACCCTAGGTTTTAAATTAATCTGTTGGAGTAAAACAGTTCGTGAATTTGTATTCTATAACAAACATAGGCATATGTTGATGAGTTACACATAGAGTTTGCGTAAACATGTAACTAGAGTTCAGGGAGGAAAACAAACCCCAAGATCTTGCAAAGTTTGCTCAACTCGCTTAATGGTACGAAGTCCTGCTGACGAACTCGCCTGTTGCACCATTTGCTCAAGTGCATATGTTCTCAAGTATACTGGAAGCTGAAATTGGGAGTCAAAAGCCGTCAGTCTACAAGTTCAAGAAATAATACCAAAATAGGCTATATATTTCACTGAAATTAAGTTATCCACAATAAACATTACATACAAGAGAGTTTACACCCGGGCAGGAGAAGAGAGTTGTGGAAAGAGGAGATAGAAATGAAGTCTCAAATAAAAATCTCCACTTACCATACGCAGTGAAGCCAGAGTAGAAGAAGTATCTGCAATGACCAAAGTTGAAGGTGGAGCTGCCACTGGGGCAAGTCGAACATTTGATAGAGATACAAGAGTATCATTGTGATCAATAGTTGTTTCAGGAAATTCATTCTCAGTCGCAGGCATTACAGATTCCTCGACACCCTGAACAAATTACAGCAATTAAAACATAACCAACAAGTAGACATGGGTACAGACATTTCGCTTCGCCTGAATCAAACTGAAGTTTCAGTTTTGGAGAGACAGGCAGCATAGACGCCACACAATCTAATAAATCATAATTTTAGGGACATTAATCAGATAATCTTAACACCATACAAAATACATGTCTACTCTTCTCCTAAACTCATACAGCAAAACCCTGCTCAGGGAATTCACAATGTTATGCAACAATATTTGTTGATGTATAGATTAAAATAAAGCTCTTGTTTTCAAAAGAACATATATAATTAGAAAACACAATTATAATGGTCCAAAACAAAAAAGAGCACAAATGATAGAAAAGAAGCCTTAGGCAATCAACATAAGAGTTTAAACCCAATACGGTCCTGACAATACCATTGTAGTCATGACTATCCACAATTATGCAACAAATGCAGAATCGACTACTTACTTTAGCAGCCATCCGCGACTCAGCTATTTTTTTGGCTTCAGCGAGGACCTGAAAAAATTGAAGAACAGCTGGCTGTCATGTAACAAATACCAAAGATATATGGTCAATTGACAGAAACGAGTATAATTTCTGAAACCAAATGACACCTCTGCATCCTTTTTCTCTTGCTGCTTGGTTTGGGAAAGGACCATGGACAAAGCACGCTTGCGTTCTTTCTCTTGTGAAGCATTATAGTTTTCCTTCAAAACCAAAATGAAAAAGAGAAGCTAAATTGGCATACAAGTTGAAGTACTATGCCCGGCCACTTTTTTAATTAGTAACTCTAAGCCACGTTACCTTAACCAAAGGATGGCCCGATACATCAGCTGGAGATGAAGCCCTAGCAAGCAATATGGAACGACACACTGGGGAAAGAAAATATATGATAAACACCCACAAAAAAAATGAAGAGGTCCTGACAGATCAAGAACATCCTTCTCAAGCCAATCAAGCTGAGTAGGACCAAAGACATTTATAAGTCCTCCAGAAATGTAACTTAACAATTATTAATTACCACTATAATAGCGATCCTTCAATTCCTCCATAGTCCGAGAAGATGGAAACCTATCTGCTATGATCACAAAGCGGAGATCAAACTGTTCGCACAAGTCGAACAGCTGATCTGTCTCTTGCTTGGTCCATGACTGATGGAGAAAAAGAGCAAGAAATAAGTGGATGCCAACTTAGAACTAAGCTGACAGCATTATCAGTTCAGAAGACAATCCTCTCCATGTTTCCAGCATCCCTTGAGTCAAGGGTACAAGCAAAGAGTAACAGGAGCTTTTCTTTTTGAGTGAAGTAATAAGAAGAGTTATGAAAACGGCAACCACAAAGTGATATGAGTACCTACAGGATCAGTCAAATGCTTTGCATATTCCTCGTCGGTGTACTTGGTAACCTCAATAGACTGCGCTCATTCAACAAAAGAACATACAGGTCATTCAAAGACAAAAATTACAGGGACATAGAACAAATTTAGAGAAGTTCAAGACAACCTAACCACCAAGTTTGGAAATTTTCAAGTCCCAAAATATCAGAAAGATGAAGAAAATATACAATACCTTATTATACTTGGCAAACGAATAATCCCCTGTTGGAGGAACACCGTTTACTACCCTAACCTGCAAATCCGAAAAGACACTAGGACTTCTGAGTGACCAACTCCTTTTTTGAAATTTCTCTTATACTACACAAAGAGAGAAACAATCTAGCAGGTTCAGAGCTATACCCAATGATAAAGCTGCAGAGTGTCCTTCCGAGCAGAATTTGTGAAGGGAAGCCATTGCCAAGTGATCTACATTCAAATTCCCAAAAATATATAAAGAAAACACAGTCACAACAGGGAGTACTCCCCACAACTGATCTTAACGCAAGAACCAGTTAGCAAATACAGAATGAGTCACCTTCTCGTCAGAAGGGGGCCGTTTCTTCAAGTAAGAAGAATCAATCGATGGCATTAACGGCGCCAGCCCTCCCGTAAGAGCATACACCTGCACATTTGGCAGACGATTATCAAGTAAAAGTAAATGGGTTCGTAAAAAAAAGAAACAAAAAATACTACCCAAGCCTAAATTCAGAGACCTCGCGCGAAATGCCATCGGGTTTTCTCTGGGAATCTTTCTTCGGCTGGGACTTCTTTTCCGGAGGTACTGAGAGTGGCGTTTTGGGCAATCCAAGGATGTCCTTGGCGTCCATGTTTGCAGATTAGGGGTTACGATGGAGCTCCACAATCTGAAGAGACATCAATCACAGTAATTGGGGAATTTGTAGCACATGAGAAGAACAAGTCGAGCTGTGTGTAATCTGGTTAGGGTTCGTATCGACACAGGATTGATTTGGGTTCGGGGTGGATTTAGGGTTCGCATATACAAAGTGGAGCTGGGGAGAACTTTTCGAGCGCGAAAGTTTTAGCCTAGGTGGGAGAAGAAGGGCTCTCAAAGTCAAACACACACACCTCTCTCTTTAGGGTGTTCAAATGGTTACCATGGTTATAACCAAATCAAATAAGGCTAAATTCCATTAACCATGGAATACAATATCATAATCAAACCGTCCAAACTAATACAACAACCAAATTAACCAAACTAAAGTTTAATCGGTTTGGTTAATTGGTTAACCAGATTAACCAATATAAAATCACATTATTATTGATGATGAAAATTTTCCGGTTAATGCAACAATTCGCAATTTATATAATGAATAAAACATAACAATCAACACGTAGTTATAGTTGACCCTTAACAAAAATACATGCAACTAAGGCAATTATCTTACGATTAGTATAGAAGTATTCACCTAACAAAAATTTATGACAATGGTATGGGTTAATGAATTGTTGTGTTTGTGTAAATTGACTTAGTCTCTTAGCAATTATCATAGGCTGGAAATGACCTTCTTTTCAAGTTTTCATCCATCATAATGTATGAAATTTATCTAAATTAGACGTTCATATGTTGTGGTCTACATTTTACATATAAAAATATACACTATATGAGCAATATTGAGCTTTATATTTTGTGAGTCTAAAAGGGATGAACGTTAACTCTTGAGTGGTTATGCAAAGTATTAAGTATGTGTATATAATATATGTTATATATATATGACTAATTACTTAACTGGTTAATTTGGTTTGACTGGTTAGGAGTGTCTGAAACCAAACCAAACCACCTAAACCAAACAAGCTAAAAACTTTAACCAAACCAAACCAATTATCCAAATTAACCAAACCAAATTATCCAAATAGTACTGGTTAAAACGGTTACCATGGTAACCAAACCGTTTGAACACCCCTACTCCTCTCGAACAGGAATGGGGAAGAGGATATTTCAGTAATTGCGTAATAATTGTCCAACAGACTAATACTCGTTTAATATCGGATGTACGTTCGTGGACATCGTTTAATATCGGATGTACGTTGTCAAAGGCTAAACCGGGTTTTAGAGGTTAGGATATAGTATTATATCCTGAATTACAGTTAATTTTTTTTATCTAAATAGTAAAACTTGACCGGCGTACGGTAGACGTATGCTAGCTTGAAGCCCATTTATATATAGTGATTGCTATCATGCACAAGGCAAAAACTGGTGTATGTCGCACACCAGACAATCTCCACCGTACGTAATACGAGCACGAAACCGGCGCCTGTAGTTATCAAAGTAACACAGCTTCAAGAACGAACAAGAAAAAGATTTTTAGGGTTTTTTGTTTGTTTGGGATATGATAGAAATAGAATTGAAAGTGCAATCTCAACACAAGATGGGAGAAGGCTCTAACAATATAAATGGTAGAAGCTCAACCACGATCAATGAGAAAACTTGATTGATACAAAGTAGAAAATTCTCAAGCCTAAAGCTCAAGAACAAATAAAATATCAATATTCATCAAAGTCTACCAAAATTTCGTGTCCCATACCCTTTATATAGTCCAAGGCAAATAAAATCACCAAAATCCCGAAAGAAAATAAAAGCTTAAACCGAAAAAGTAATTTTAACTCATCAGATCAAATTCAACAGTCTCCTCCTTGAATTCCACGATCGTGGATTTGGGTTCTTGACCGTGGATTCTTCCTGCCTTAAATCCACGGGTACAACCTTGATTCCACGACCGTGGATTTTGGTACTCCTCGCCCTTCTGCCTTTCTCGAGGCATGACCTTCTTTCCACTTCGAGTATAGTGGTTTGGATCGCTCTGGGGAATCGCACCAGTCTCTCCCTGGTGAAGAAGTTTTGCCCTCAAAACGGTTGCTTTCCTGCAAGTAACAACATCAACAGAGCTTCCAAATAGAATTCTCCTTAGCGTAGTCAACATGTACCTTAAAGCCATCATATGCGTTCCAGTTCCGTCCTCCACCTTCGAACCACTTGCACTCCCTTTCTCCTAGGTCCAGTTCATTGTCAACTGTTGTTGATCTTCTCGAACTTCAGGTGTTGATAATGGATTCAACAAAAACTTCTGATCTCCTTTCTTGAACCGATAGTTGTTGTGCCTTCCATCATGAATAACTTCTCGATCATATTGCCTTGGACGACCCAATAAGAGATGGGCATCCTGCATTGGAGCAACATCACACCAAATCTCATCTTCATAATCACTGATCTAAAAACAAACCTTGGCCTTCTTGTTGACTTTGATATTCTCATAGTCGTTCAACCAATGTAGAGTGTATGGATGAGGATGCTTGATGGTGCCCAATCCCAACTTATTGACTGCATCCAGACTAATCACATTGATACATCTACCACCATCGATCACCACAGACAACACTTTTCCGTCGACTAAGCAACGAGAGTGGAAAAGATTATCCCTATGCTCTGTCTTTGTATAAGTTTCAATAGATAAAGCTCTGCGGTTCACTACAAGAAGTTTACTAGTTGGAGGTTTCTCAGCCTTGATGTGCTCATCTACATCATCATCTTTAGAATTAGCATCAGAGCTGAATCCATTCCCCATTGGCTTCTCTTCATACTACTCATTAGAAAAGTATTATCTATCTCGCAAATCCAGAGTCTTCTTGTTGGGGTAATGGTTGGCCTTATGACCTCGTCCCAACCACTTGAAGCATATGATACTCCCAGTTGAGCCTTCATTCCTAGCTTAGATGACTAGGGCCGTGTTCCTAGCAGCTGGCTTGTCACCTTCTTGCTTAGGGTGATTCATGTTAGCCTCAGACATGTTTTCTGCAATAGGTTTTGGACGAAGGTAGATAACTTTCCCAAACTCACCTTCAGCTGCCTCTCCACCTTCATGGCCAAATGCACCACTTCCTCCAACTCTACAAACTAACGAAGATCTACATTATTCTTGATTTCTCTATTGAGTCCATGTAGAAAGCGAGCAATCGTTGCTTCCTTTCCTTCCTCACATATGTTCTCATCATGAGTAGTTCCATCTCCTTGAAATGTTCATTAACCAATCGTGCTCCTAGCCGAATTCCCTACAAGGCTTCATGAAGATCTCTCTGATAGAATGGAGGAACAAACCGATCACGTATCAAGCCTCAGAGTTCTTCCCAAGTAGAAACTTCAGGTTACAGATTCCTTCTTTGTGGAAGCTGAACCTTTTCTCACCAAGCTGTTGCATAATCTGTAAACTCATAGGTGACTACAATAACTTTCGGATGCCCTAGGTAGGGATTGTACTGGAAAAACATAATCATCTTCCTCTCCCAGTCAAGGTAAGCTGAGGCACTATTAGTGCCTTGAAAGTTGAAAGGATGGGATTGAGAGCTTAATCCCTCGAATCGGTTCAACATCACAACCCCCTGCTTCTGGTGGGCTTCCTCCATACTCATGATAATCATTCTCTGTTGGCGCCTCTGCATCTTCCTATCTGGGGTCTTGGGAAAAGTTTGGTAAACATGATTTGCCCTTGGACCCTCTCGGTTAGCGGCTCCGGTCTAAGCTGCGGCAACTGCTGGATTCTCTGGTGGTGGATTACTCATTGGTTCCGTTTCCAACTTGGTGATTAGGGTATCTAGATGCTTATTCGTCTCAACCAGCTGACCTTTGGTAGGGTCCTGCTGGGTACAAAGTTGAAAAACGATGGTTATGTAGAATAATTTTAAAGTAATTTACTGCACATTTTATCCTGAAACCTATATTTCGTTACCAGAGGCTACCATTCTACCGGAACCAGTACTTCCGCTTGCCCCACCAAGCCTAGGTGTTCCTTGTGGCAATTGGCAATACCTCTATAACAAGGTATGGTGTTTCCTTCTCCTTCTGATGATACAACTGGTCGATAATGATGCATGCGTGGAATTTAATTCTAACTGGTTTGCGAATCAACAAACCCCAACTTTATCATGGTATTAACATCTCATTTATCTCGTATAATATTAGTAAGCATTTGATGTGATTTCTCCTTAGTGACTCAAAAGTATTATTGGTTCATCTTGTAATTTGTACAGTGTATGGAGAAACATGGGGATGTTGTTTCTGCCAAGTGCGAGTACCAGCGTTGTAAATTGTACGAGTGCAACGCCGATTACTACAAGAACAAAGCTGCTGATGGTGTTGAGGTGTAGAACCTTGGCCAGCCGCCCAACTTTATATATATAATACTAGATTGTTTATGTACGGAGATGGGTTTTTCTTTACATCATTTTGCTAAACCCGTAAAGCTAATGTATCCAACATATGATATATTTTTTTGAGTAAATTTCGAAAGACTATGCCCTCTTGGACTTCCCATGGCTAAGTATTGAACCGAGCAAAATACACGAACAGGGAAAATGTGATGTTTAGTAAGAATACAAATATTTATAGCGAGAAGTTGCAAGATGAACTAAAATATTGATAGCAACCTCTGCTTGTTTACAATATAATAACTACTTAAAAATACCAATGTTTAGGAAACGCTGTCGTACGACCGGTCTTACCGAAAATATCGGATACCATACTCAAAATAGTAGGCGATTTTGACGATAGGAAACTGTTACGTTGAACCATAATTAAATCACGATTTTAATACAGAATACCCAACCGTTAACTTTTCCAGTATAACCTCCGATACGATTTCACAAACCTTGGAAAAAACTACTACTCATATGTAACACTTACTGAGAACATAACTTTGCGCTCGGTTATCTGATCGTAACGATTTTTTTTAATTCAGCATAATTTTTCGAATTAGCCGCGGCATGCCCTATAGTCATCATATAAACCGCCATAGGAAGCTGCGGTTCTTGCAAAAGGGTGGTATAAATGGAGATTTTTGGAAAAGGATTGTATTTTTGTAATGTTTTAGTTGTGGGTGGTATTTTCTGGAAAAAAATCCAAAAGATTGCTAATGGAGATTGGGGGATTGTGAAACTTGTATTATTACACTTTAATTGGGGACATGAAGAATGGATCTTTTCCTCGATTATGAAGGGAGAAGGATACTGGGATTAAAGAAGAAAGGGAATGAATTCAGGAAGAATGGGAAGTAAGAAGAAGATAGGGAACGAGAGGGAGCAAAGAGATAGAGCGGGATATGGAAAGGAGGAATTTTACAAAGTTATATAGCATTGGTGTTATAGGTTTTCGTCTTTATGGTACAACTTGAAATTGTACATTTAACGTTATGGTACAACTTCAGGTTGTACCTATGCATTTTGTACAAATTCTTTTATAGTACAACTTGAACTTGTACCTTTATATGATGGTACAACTTAAAGTTGTGAAGTTGTACCATAGCATAATGATACAAATTCATTTATGCTACAACCTGAACTTTTACATTTAACGTTATGGTACAACTTTAAGTTGTACATTAAAGCACCAATGCTTTATAGCATAGTAGAAGTGCTCATGGGAAAGTGGTAATATGTTTATAGCGCTAAATTGCAAGGTTGGTCACTGGAAGTACTTAAAATTCACGTTTGGTCATTAAAAGTATTTTATTCTATTCGTGCTCACTAAAAGTGGTTAAACGCTTCACGTTTGCTCACTCTCCGTTAGTCACCGTTAAGTTTAGCAAATGTGGCAGTCAACTCTGAGACTTTGACCGTTAAATGAGTGACATAACAATTAAAAATTAAAATTTGACAATTCAACCCTTAACCCAACCCAACCCGAAACTTTTGATTCCTCGATGTATCTGTGGATTCTCAATCATCTTCACCCCATTGCCACCAACGATTCCTCTGTCCTAGATGCCTCCACCAACCTCATCCCACCACCACTTGTTACTGTCGATAATCAGCTTCCTACATTTACGCGGCAGATCCCCCACAGCCGCTTGGAAATCACCCATCACCGTGAGGGTGTCGGAGGAGCTTCACCGTCGTTCCCTTTTCCCTCTTCATTCCCTCCCAACCCAATTCCCCAATGCTCCTCAATTCCCTTCTCGTGTACTCTCTCTTCCCTGAGCACCTCCGCCATCTTCCTTTCCTCCTCCATCTCTCTCCTCACCCGATCCATCTTCGCGGCGTCCGCCGACACTTTCCTGGCCAGATTCTTGCAAACCCTCTCCAGTGCTTCATTCCCGCTCCTCTCCTCCGCCACATCTCTTGCCAGCCACTCGTAGTCCAGCTCCGCCATCAACAGATTTTTATATCTTCAACGCTACAAAACTCAACATTCGCGGCTTTATAATTCTCCCTTTTGGTGACATTGAGCAGAATACACTTCGAGATGCTGTTCTTGAAGGTCTGGCAGAGATGGGGTTGGCGTTGGTGTTGTTGAATCCCGTTGCGATGCTTGATGGAGACGACGCAGATTAGAGGTCGTTGGCGGTGGAGAAGAATGGACTAGGGAGGGTGGGTCGGAATGGGGTTTTCATTTGGGCAAATGGAGTTTTAGTTTGGGCAGGTTAATAAGAGGGTCAGGTCATGGGTTTGGGGAATCTGACATGGAGGGTAAAATTGACTTGGCGAATTTCCTCAAAGATGATTCCCCCATAACATCCGCAACCATCCCAGCATTGACCTTGTCAAAAACCACCTTGGCGTCCCCTTGAAATGTGACTACATCTCTGCCCATAAGAAGACACCAATGCACCACCTCTCGAAGCGCCAAAAGCTCTGCCATACCCGGATCACCAACATTTGGAAACAACATCCCCTTGGCCAACACCTCCGCACCAGACAAGTCCCTCAACACCATCCCACACGCCGCATGAGACCCTGCACAGAATGCAGCATCCACTGAACATACTATGCCCAGACCCCCGGCAAAAGCCTGCTCACCAGACTGCGGCACCTCCACAAGCAAAGCCTGACCAATGCTTGGAACACCCACATTCCAACGGGACTCCCACTCCAATACCTGTGCCTGAAACTGACGGTGTAAGGTCGTGAATGTCATCTGCGTCCCTTCAAAGGTTGCGAGATTCTGACTTTTCCAAATCCTCCAAAGGAGGCAAACAACACGGAGCACCCGATTTTGGGATTCATTCTTCTCGAAAATGCGCCGAAGGAAAATCCAAGAGGGTTTCAAGAAAAATGAAAACGACGAGGCATGAATCTCAATCTCACCACCACCTCTAGAAACCCTTTTCTAAATCATAAGATTCAACGTCGGTGGAGTCCGGGAGGCAAGTCTGTCTCCATTGCAATTCTGCCAATTTTGTTCAAGATGAGGATGAGCATGGAGTCCGGGAAGACGACGAGAAGATGAAAGATGATTGTGGGTCTACTGCTTCTCTCTCGGATTCACCATCTCCACCCTCCCAAGATTTGCCAGCAGAGGATGAACATTAGAGGAGTGGCGGTGGATGTTGTTGGAGGCCACTGAGGAAGCCATCATAGTTGGATGGAGGGGTAACGCTGAGCTTGTTCGGTTTGTCAGTTCGGTTGGATAGAACCCTGTTTCCAAAAAATGGGGTTTTGTCTTACGAATTCCAAAACGAATAACAATAATTCGGATCCGGTTTGTATCTGTTTGGGTTCGATATATTTCGTTCGGGTTTACCAAACTGGATGCCCACCCCTAATTAAAATTAGGTATTTCCAACGGTAACTTAAAGTAAGGTAACTTGAATTTTTTACCTGCTATAGCAAGTTTCACAGGTCGCATTATGTAAGAATACAATAGGCATTACGTAACGGTTACGTAACATATGGTAATCTTACGTAACAGTTGTAAAAGGTCATTACGAAAGCCTTACATAATAGACATTTATTTTACGTAATGAATACCAACATTGCATTACGTAAACTGCAAAGTTATTACAGAAGTCTTACGTAACTGATGTAGGCACGTTAGCCATCGAGAAGATCTATTTCCAAGCATGCCAAGTAGTGCTGAAATCGAGGAAGAAGGAAGTGTTGGGTTTGGCTAAGTGCGGAAACAACTTCAAGGTACCTACTTTGGACGCTTACTCGTTCATATAAGGTTCCATTCAAGGGAAGCTGGGAGTTGGATGTGAAAGTGCAAGTCTTGCTGTAGATCGTAAAGGCGTGGGATGAGAAGACTGAAGCTTCTTGGACACCAAACAAGCAGTCTGAAGATTGTATGGTGATCCGAAGATCCCCTGCCCACGACCATCAATTCCCCGACCGAGGATCATGAATAGAAGAACCACCGGTCTAGAGGGTTCCATTCCCCGATCGGGGAACAAAATTTGAGAGACTAGGGTATAGGCGCTGTCGAGTTAATTTCGCTGTATTAGGAGTTTAATTTGCATTTTATTTCTCTATTAAATTATTCTTATGTTTCCTACTTAGTTTGGGACTTGATTTCCTATTTTTAGAAGGTTTATTTTAGGTTTTTGTGACCTCCATAAATAGAGGGTAAAAGACCTACGAATTTCAGAGATTATTTTTTAATATACATTTTCTTTGTTCATCGAGCTTGTGCTTGTGAATTTGCTCTCGTCGTTGGTGGACTCCAATTGCGTTTAGTGTGTCTCTGTTTCAATCAAACATCCATCTTGATTGTGGTCTAACTTCTACCCTATATTGACAGAGCATTCTCCAAGGTGTGAGATTGCGCTTCAATTCCACCCTATCCCTAGTTCTAAACTCCGTTCTTAGTTATGCGACTTTCGGAGATTATTATTGAATATAAAATTTCCTTACGTAACGCTTCTTATTTGATTGTTATGTAAGAAATAACTATGATTCTGTAACCTTCGCATAATTTATGTGTATTTACGTAACGGTTGTTAAATGTCATTACGGAAGCGTTACGTAATTGAAGGTCCTTTTACGTAATGAGTAAATTGCTAAGTTATTACAGAAGGCTTACATAACATTTCCGATTTAACTGTTACGTAAGAAATCACTATTGTTCCATAACCTATACGCAATTGATGTGTATTTTACGTAGCAATTGTAAATTGTCATTACGGAAGCCTTAAGTAATTGGTGATCCTTTTTACGTAATGAATATTAACATTGTGTTACATAAAGTGTTAAGTTGTTACGGAAGGCTTGCGTAATACTTCTAATTAAACGATTACGTAAAAAATAATTGTAGTTTCAGAATCTTTACATAACAAACGTTTATTTTACGTTATAGTTTTAAAGTGATTATGAAAGTATTACGTAATGAATATTAACATTATGTTACGTAAAAGATTAAGTCATTAAGAAAATTCTACTTAATAAGATTTGTTATTTTTTTTTTGGTAATATTTAAATTTTGCTTTAAACATGTAAAGGTAAAATAAATAAAAATTATTAACATGAAAAGGTTAAATGACAAAGAAACGGTTAAAATGTGAAAAGGAAAAGAAAAATGAAAACAATTAAAGACGGTAGTGTAACCGGCTGCAATGATTCTTTCTTTTTCTACTTTTTTTAATAAATTACTTAAAATAATTTTTATTTATTTTAATGGTTCAGATCTATTCAAATTATCTAACTTGAATAATACTCAAGTTGTTGTAGAAGGTCCCATTAAAACTATTAACGAAATGACTATACTTGTGTTTTTTTTTCCTTCAAAATTTGAAATTATTGTAATAAAGTGCAAAATTATAACTATCCAGTTCAAATGTATTTTCTCTATTTTTAAATTACAATCGTAGGATGAAACATGTCGACTCCACAATCACATTGGTCCAAGATCTCAGAAGCACAAAAAAACGTTAGATTGATTCATTTTAAGGGCATGACTCCCATGCATCTGCACCCAGGAGGAAACCTTAAATAGTGTCCAAAGTCGGAAAATCTCAAAGTCAAATGTGAGAGACGGCTAAAGCTAACAAACAAATTACAAATATAAAAAATACTAGGTCACAAAATTTGGCGATTGCTCTATTTCCTTCTCCCTTTTTCTCTCAACAACCTGAGGAGTTGGCTTTTCCGTTATCCATGCTTCTCTGGAAGAAAGAAAACCAGAAACCAAAAAAGGCTACTGCTACTTTTGCTACTCTTTTCCTCCTCCAACACAACACAAACCCCAACAAATGAAAATTAATAGAGGGGGAACAACTTGCTCCCTCCTCCCTCCTCATGTCCTCCCTAGTTGCAAATTCTTCCATTGACATAATTCTCTTCTAATTATAGTGTTCCATTTCTTCCATTGTTTTCGCCTGCACCAGAAGAACCAAAATCCCCCTGCAAACCCCAGGAAACGACAAGGAACAAAAGAAGAAAAAAAAGCATAACGGATTTATGTCTCCTATGCTCCAAGGTAACGAGTTCATGAATAATCCAAAAGGGGCACAACTTTCATCTTCCTTTTCTTTAGGTAAAATGCAGAACTTTCTTCGGGGTCATTGAATTTGTGGAAAAGGGTGTCATTTAATGTTATCCCATACTTTTAACCTTCTAATTTAGTTTCTTCCATATCTTCGAAATGTGATCATGATTCAAATTTTTTATTTTCAGCCACTCATTTATTTGATCTTGCTGGTTCAGCCATTCGAGTTTCCTGATTCGGACACTTTAAAGTCTGGACCTTTCTGTCGTTTTGCTTATTGGGTTTATGCTCATTTTGATCATTTCCAATTGAAAAGGGTAAAAAAGAAAGGAAGAAGAAGAACAACAACAAATAACAGGTCGTTAAGGTGTATTGTTTATGTGCATTGAAGGGACGGCCTACATTTTGTCTCTTGGTGTTACTTTTGTTTTCGTTGGATGTCGAAAGGTGGAAAGAGACTTCAAAGGTTTTCGCTTTTGTGGGAGATTAATGGAGGGTTTCGGGGTATGAAATGGTGATTGATGGTGATGAGTCAAGTGTTCTTATAATTTGAATAAGAAGGGGAGGAAAATGGCTACTTTGCAAGCAGAAAAATCACAAGAGCACGGGCGGAAGGAGGACTGGTCGCCTTCCCCTTATGTGGTTTTGCAGAACGTCTCGGAGGAGGCAATTAGAGTTGCTGGCAACAAACATCAAAGTGTGTACCCCGGTGGCGGCAAGGCTCATGCCGAGGCTCCAACTCCGACTTCCCTGCCGCATTCACACCACCAGCGGAGTCAGAGTGAAGTTTTGACTAGTGATGCTAAAGGGAACAACAGTTTTCAGAAATTTAAAGTTCATATGCAAAAAGCGTTGCTATGGGGTGGTAATTCAAGTGAGCAAGACTTATTAGTCCCTACCTTCAATCCAGAGGTTTTGGCTGACCAGAAACGACAATGGTATCAACTTCATTCCAAATCTACGGTAGGCCTTACCCTTTTCTTCCCTCTTTATTTTTTCTTTCCACTTTTTATATGTATACTAGTAAGGAACTTTTTGGAATCTTTGGAGGTAGTATAGCTCATGATGAGGTTTTCTAAATGTGCAATTTTTGGAAGTGAAGGTTAGAGTCTAACCTTCTTAAGGAACTTAGGACTCAGTTTCTTATGGATTCTAAGAAGCATGTGTTGTTTTAGGAGAAATGATGAACAGTGGTATTAGTGAAACATCAACATCAATATCTCTAGGAATGGAGGAACTGATAAATCACAAGATTTGAATTGTAGGATCTTGCAAGTTACAAGGAGCCTAGCTCACTATTTGAGCACTTCATTGTCACGGGCCTCAAACCTGATACTAATCTCCAAGCTGTGGAGGAAGCATTTGCCAAGAGGAAGAAGTGGGAATCTCTACAAAGACGATCAGGAGCAAGGGATATTAAGGCAGTACAGAATCGAGCACCTCAGTTTCCAAAAATGGAACCTCAGGTATCTTATTAGTTTATTTAGCAAAAACTTATATAATGTCTATGAATTGAAAAATATTGTCCTTCCACTGTTGCTGTCATTTAATGAAAAAAAATTCAAGGCAATAGACATCTTATGCTTGTGCTCAAGCCACATTTTTCATCGCAGATTACAAACTAGCACATGCCTGTAATATCCATTAAATCACATGTGTTTCCCCTACTTGCACTTGCGGTTAATTGAGCCACAATGTGTTACTTTCTTTCCACTGAAACAAACTTAGCAACTTGTTTGTTATAGACTCATGATATCTACCTTGTTCTCATACACGAATCTTCTCTTGCAGCTACTCTTTAAATATCCTCCTGGAAAAAGATTACCTATGCATGTGAAAGATTTGGGTGCTTTTTGTTTCCCAACTGGTGTTAAGGTTTGTTGCTATTTATCTCATATAAACTTACGATATCTCCAAATATGTGATAGTTATTGCTATAACATGCAGTCTTTTCAACTTGAAGTTGTTGTTTTTTTTTTGTCAAGTTGATACATATTCCTAAACTTCATTATCTTCCAACTCTTTCTCTACCGTGGATGTAAAATGCAACGTTGGATGTACGTGTGTGTACAGATCTATGAGTGTATGTTAGATAGATATATATATAGAGAGAGAGAGAGAGAGAGATATAGAGAGAGAGAGAGGGAATTTTATATTAGCTCTATCGAGTCCTGGGAAACATGTCATTAAGTAATGAAACAGGCCAACGTCCTCAACTGCATTAGTGCTGAGGTTTAGGTTCATTGTTTCTTGTGACCAAGTCACATGTAGTATATGGACTTCAATAATTCTTTTGTTTTTTATTCAGAAATAATTAATGATTCACTGATTCTTCTATGGATTGATATGCAGCCAAGGCTATTGGAGAGGACACCCTCGCTTAGTGAGCTAAATGAACTTGTCTATGGACAGGTATTGTGTTCCTAGTCATATTTTTATCACTCACATATGTGGTTAATGTTTATGAGAGAGGTCCATGAGTGGGTAACATAAATGGAATGCTTGTCTTCTCATTCTGAGAAATTTGCCAAGCTATATTCCTCTTGTATGTTGTTACTTACTCATTTTGGTGGTGAAGTAACCTTTAATTTTTTTTGTAAACACATTTTGTGCAGGGTCAATTGGGAAGAGATGATTCATCATTTGTATTTTCTCTAAAGGTATGTTTCCTGACCCTTGGTGCTTCACATCTTATTTTTGGCTCAAGGTGTTTGCTGTGGATTTATATCTGCCACACAATTTGTCCTTGTGTCTTCCTTTTCACTGTTTGTGCATGTGAATTATGATGTCTATCGGATATTCTCATCTGCCTAACATACTTCATTAAGTCCTTTTGATGACTATCGTAAGATGGTTATTTAAGTCTAGCATACATGCTTTTGAGAATGACTATACAGGCTGCTCATGGTATCCACCAAATATGACTCAATAACTACTTAGTTCAAGTTTGCCATTTTTAGTACCAGTTTGCTTGGTTTTGAAAAGGACAAAATGATTTTCTTTCAGTAAAAAATTCTAAGAGTATCTATGTACCATTGGTCAGGTAGCTGACAGTGACACGCTATATGGTGTGTGCTTGCACACAACAGAGTTTGTGCAGAGGCCACTTGGTATCTTAGGCTTCTCATCGCCTCTTTCTTCATCTAGACACTGCGGCCGTTTTTTGGTGTCTGCACCTCGTTGTTACTGTCTGTTAACCAAAGTGCCTTTCTTTGAGCTACACTATGAGATGCTTAACAGGTTTGCTTGTGTTTCTCTTGTTGGCTCAACTGTAGTGACGATATTGGATTCTTTTTATGTTTATATTATTTTTAGCTAACATGACGTAATATGATTGCAGCATCATAGCACAGGAGCGTCTGAATAGGATAACACAATTTCTCAATGAAATATCCTTCAATAGTTGTGTCCCATCATTCACTAGACAATCTTCTCAAATTAATGGGGGCATTACTTACCAGGAGCAGGTGGATGACATGGACTGGATGTCATTCGCCATACCAGTTGAAAGTGCTCTGGCCCTTACTGCTGCAGCTGCAGGACTTGCATTAGATGATGATAATTCGTCACAAAGAACATCAGAAGAACCTCATTCCCCCGAGAGTGTAGCTGCTAGTGAGGCTTCTGATTTCAGTCAAACAAGGGAGAGTGAAAAGGATGATGGCAACAAAAATCTCAACAATTCATTTGATGATGGTTGTTCGGAGTCCTCAGAAGCCCGCTCAGATGCTTATGAGCGAGTAATATATGGAAGCTATGATAATGATCATGCTTCTCCAGATGTTTTGATGCCGTTTTCCTGCTCAAGAAGCCCCGAGATGGAGCGTAATTTAAGTTTTGATGCCCTTTTCAGGTACTATATTTGCAGTATCATAAATTTCCCCCCATTATATTCAATTAAAAAAAAAAACAGGTTTATGGATTCTAAATGTGTGGTTCCCTTGAGGCTTATGTTTATTATATCTGGTTGTTTTTATATTCTACTAGATGACAATTCTTCATTTTTTCATGATTGCATAATTTTTAAAGTTGCAACAGTACATATCAGTTATAAAAAATGTTGTCTTGGCAGTCCAGTAAGAAGCATGACGTATGAGGATGATGAAGATGAACATTTTGCCAATCAGCGCAAAGAATTTGAGAATGATCTAATTGTGGACTGGGCAAAGGTTAGTTTTATATACCGCGTCTCCCTTGTTTATGAAGTACATCCTATTAGTTTGATTACTAACTACTCCTTCTCTGGTTGATTCTATCCGCTGGGGTAGGAGAACAAAAATGATTTGTTGCTGATCATTTGTAGGTACCATGCTATGGATGTTCCCAAACGCGGAGGCAAAATTGTTTTTCAACCTACTGACCATTTACCTGCTGTTGAATATAACCGACCTCATGTATCGGAGCTTGCCTTTTCTAGAAATTTTGAAGATGCAGTTAATGTTGTTGGGGTATTTATGTGCCTTTCTTTTTTGTTTGTTAATAATGTTTCACTACTACATATTTACTTACTTGAATGTTAAACCTAGGGAAATGTCAATGCAAAATTAGCTGTCACGGAGGAAGCTTTTGCACTATCAGTATGGACAACTGCAACTCTTTGCCGTGTTTTGTCGCTAGAGAGTGTAATGTCCTTCTCCAAATCTAATTGGCTTGAAACATGTTGTGAAGGTTAATATATATAGGTTTTTTTTTCTGCATCATTTCTAAGACTTGCATATTGCCTGTGACGCTATCAACAATTTCATTTATTTTACTGTTGGGTGCACTGCTATGTGATAAATGTCACTATACTCTTTACCACTTAAAAATACAGATATGATACAATTACTTACTTTCTAACCCCTTTGTAATAAATAGCAGTGACCAGTCATGCTTCATTGACAATTACACCCCTATTTTAAATGTTCTTCCTGAGAGTGCATGAATTTTTTTATGTGTTATCATATATTGAAATTCCTCCTTTATCTTAGCAAGCATTATTGCTCCTCTCTCCGTTGCCTTGGTCTCATTAGCCTGATGTAGTGATAACTTTCTTTTCAGATCTTGGCTCTGTTTGCAGGAGTTTTGCTTGAAAAACAGATAGTGGTAATGTCCCCAAACCTGGTGAGTTGATAATGTGATCTTATAGTACGTGAGAACTCCCGAGCATGTGAACAATTTATATGTATCGTATGTGTTTTGGAATATGTGATTTGTTAGAGTTCATATATTTTGAGAATACACACATGTACAATAATTTGATAGTATCAATTGACTGAACTATGCACCATTTGGAAATTGTCAACGTGAACTAACATACTTTACTTCTTGAGGCTAGTGATATTTTTCGCAATACAGTTGATATAATGAAAAATGAATAAGGGCAAAACAAGGAAAAAAAGAACTCGAATTTTTTTCCTGCAATTCGGTTTGAAATTTCAGAATAGTTCAGTATAGAAAAAGCATATATCAACCGAAATCATGCATTGGAACATTTGAAATCACAGGTCCAACAAATCCTTAGTTTATCTAGCCTCTCTAAACTCTGAGTGATTAAGAATCTTGTTCATATGATGGTATGCTTTATGACTTTGAATTTTTCATCCTACTCAAAGTTCACTGAATGCAGGGCGTTCTATCTGCTGTTGTGTTATCTCTGGTACCATTGATTCGTCCATTTCAATGGCAAAGTTTATTCCTTCCGGTACGCTGTACTGCCTCTGAGCACTAGCTTTAGCCATATTTTCATGAACTTCACCTTTCATCCTTACATTAAAGCAAGTTCATCAAGTTTAAGATCATATTAACATCTTAAAAGGTGTCATTTTGTCTGCGATAGCTATATCTTGATGTATACAAAGATCAAATATTCAATGGACATTTTTTTTTTAGTTTTAAACTGTATGGGACACAAGAACATGAACTTAGAAGTCTGATATTGCTTGGTGTCTCAGCTAATTCTGTATATTGTCTTCTGCAGGTTCTGCCAGATAAGATGTTTGATTTTCTTGATGCTCCAGTTCCTTTTATTGTAAGTTTAACTGCTTACTATATTAATCATTTTAGTTGGTATAATATCAGAGTAATAGTTAAAGTAGATTTACCTTTTCCATTTTAGGCGGGTATACAAGTTCAACCTACTGAAGTGAGGATCAAATCCTCTAACCTCATCATCGTTAATGTGGTCAATGACCAGGTATCCATTGCCTTCGCAGTTCCACGTATCTTTATTCTAACAAGATATATAGTATTCATGGTTACTTGTTTTTTGCCATGATGTTCCTGCTGCTGGTGAATTTGTAATTTTGGAATAATTTCGCTTATGAGTTCGAAGAAAAAGTAATTAAATGGTTCTTCGTGAATTGCTTGGATCAATTCCTTTTTTGGAAAAATGCAGGTGAAATCATGTCAACTGCCTTCACTTCCTAGACACAGAGAGCTCTTCTCTGAACTTCGACCAATTCATGCTAAATTGTCGCATAAAAGTGGCACAGGAAACAAAAATCCCGTGTACAAGTGCAATGAAGTGCAGGTATAACATTAAAAAAAAAATATGGCCATCACACACTGCAATGACTTCTCTCTGCTTCTCTGTTGTAGCCTTGAAGAGAACATGTGCTAAGTTAATCTCATTACTGTCTAATTTGTTTGACAAAAAATGCTCAGGGCAACGCAGCAAACAACTTCTTGAGAGTCATGAGGCGCTACTTGGAGTCGCTTTGTGCAGACTTGAGATCACATTCCATAACTAGCGTGCAGTCTAATTATGACAGGGTAGAGACTTTTTTTTTTAGTCTTCTTCAGAATCTCTCCGCTTTTTTTTCTCCCACCAAGACATGAAAATTGGTTGTTTTTTGCAGGTTTGTGTACTTCTTAAGGATAGCTTTATCGATTCCTTCCCTACCAAGGAACGACCATTCGTTAAGGTCACTCTACTCCCTCTTTTCTTGACTTTTTTTTTAAACATCCATGTCTAACTAATCCAAGCACGCTCTGCAAAAAAATTGTACAGTCTAGAGTACATAGTTAGTTTCTAAGACGATTAGTGTTCTTTCCCGTTGTATTGTCGACTTCCTTGTAACTAAAAATTGCTCATCAATTGTGGCATGAATGGTTTTGCAGCTTCTTGTAGACACACAGTTATTTGCTTCTCTATCAGATAGCCGTCTGTCAACATTTGAGAGTGGTAGGTTCTAAGTTTTATCGTTCCTTAACGACTCGAACGCAAGCACAGGAGAGCCACTTACCACACCAACAACAATTTCTGGGAATCCTTCATCAGTTGACAATCTACGCGCGCCGGCAGAAGCACTGAAGATGGTTGAGGAGGAAATTTTTGTAACGTATACCATTGTAGCAGTAACTCCAGATATGCCAGGTACATAAACTAGCTATCAAGTGAAAGAATGAACATGAAGATATGCAGTATGTTGTACTGTGATAAATGATCTGTCTGTAAATATTTGTTTACAAGGAGGTTTTTTTTTATCCTTCTATTTATCTGTAATTTTGATATCCTACTCACAGAGGTGGATCTCAAAATAGAGATGAGAGTTAGATTGTGATATGGACTTTTGTACACTCAGCTAGCCTTATATTGGATAGTTAGTTAACCAAAGGATTGTGGAAATGGAATTAGTCAAAGACTTTGAACTGTTTCCTAATCGACTGTTACACTATATTCGTCCATGTTTTACTTGTTAGAGTGTTACGAGACGAGTTATCATGGCAAATTAGGAATTTCTGGGCTTATTTATTTTCAGTAATTAATTGGTATTTTGTTATTAATATGGGATATTACTGGAAGATTAATATTTTTGTTAAAAGGAAAGATACATTACTAATATACGAAAAAGTAAATAATATCACAATTTTTTTTATAAAAAATATATTATATTTGATACTGATTTCTCAAGCCTAACTTACTATTTTAATTCATTAGAAATTCTCAATATTTTGTCGATGATTGATATTAGACCAACCTCGGAACACAACATCAACAACGTTAACATTTTTTTATACTAATCACCTGGACCTTGGTTACTAAATATTTAAATTGTTCATCTAATCAACCTAGAAGTATAGTATTAGAAAATATTTGTTACCTATCTATAACTCTACAGCATGTACATCTTGTATGAGCTAATTATGTATGCAACTTGATTATTTTTTGTCCCCGTAAACATTCATTGCATATTGTAATGACATATATATTATTACGAAAGAACAAACACATGAGTAGGTGACATTAGTCAATTCAGTGCATCGAGCTAAATACATTGTTCAAAGTTAGGGTTTTTTTATCTACTCTTGCACATGTCAGGAGCTAGTTTGGATAATTGATTTGGTTCCCATTTATCATAAATGAAATTTGGTATGTTGGTTGGTAATTCAAGGTTGTCAACCCGCGGGTCGACCCAGTTTGACCCTGACCCGATGAGAAAAACGGGCCGCATGCACCCGCCGGGCCGACTGCTATAATGTACCGGGTTGGAGGTCAAATTGTGTCATTTTTTTCTTTGATTTGCGAAATGCGACTATTTTCCGATTTTTCTTTTCGCCCAACTCAATCTTTGGAATCCTAAGTTGAACATTTGAATATTTATGTTATATAAGTGTGTGTGAATTTTCATTATATGTTGGATCTAAGTACGATATGTTATTTTGGTGTAATATTATATGTTAGAACTCATATGTTAGATAAGATTTGATATAATTTATGAGGATAAGTACAATATAATGACTTTTTCCATATTTCCGGGCCAAACCGGGCTAAAACGGTTGACCCATTAACCCTTGACCCACTAGCTCAACCGGGTCCGGGTCAACCCGCGGGTTGACAACCTTGGTTGGTATAGTTAGTACAGAGTATGACCAAAATCAAACTACTTAAACCAATCTCACGATGAATTTTTGTAAAATCCAACCAATTAGTCAAACTACTTAAATCATTTGAGGTCTCAGTCGTATGGCTAGCTGGTTAGGCGTACCTCTGGATGTGGATCAAACTACAATGTTAGGTGGGCGTCTAGGGTATGCAAAGGTGCTTGTGGAAATATAGTTACTAAAATACGGTACGGGAAAGTTATGTATAAAATACGTACGAGTATTTTACGTTGTCTCTAAGCTAATATTATATTTAATAGTACGTTAATAGTGATAAATATATAAAATTAATTATTTTTAACATATATAAATAATAGTAAAGTTAATAATTTAATTCATTAAATACGGATATTAAACGTGTTATACGTGTTTAGTACGGGAGCCATCAAATGAACGAGGGTAAATTAAATGGCTTGACAATAATATGGATACGGAAGTTTTAAACGGATAAAATACGTAAGGGTATATATACGCGTGTATTAAACGGAGTATTTACTAACTATGATTGAATTAAGGACGTGTATTAAACGGAGTATTTACTAACTATGATTGAATTAAGAGCGTGTATTAAACGGAGTATTTACTAACTATATTAAATTAAGGGCTCCAGGTGAAGGATTTGCAATCTTTATCTCAGAAGGATTCAAAGTCCTGGGTGGGGATTAACTTGGTAGCAAGAAGGGGAGCAGAAGTGGAGAACTCCCTCATTTTCCACACACTTTCTTCCACTCTACCATTGTAAGTACCGAGAGAGCAATTAGCAATGGTACTCCGAAACAAATGTGAGAGCTGAGATACCCACGGTCTGCAATTCCTACCAAGTATCAAGTAATTATGGCGTGAATTTTTTTTAATCACAGTACAAGGACGCCGGGGTGAACTGCGTGGCGGTCGGGAGCTCGCCGAGGTTCCGGGTCTACGATGTGGATTTCGGGTTTGGAAAACCCGAGAGCGTGCGGAGCGGGTCGAATAACCGGTTCGACGGGATGGTGTTTTTGTATCGGGGGAAGGAAGGTGGGTTTGATGTGGAGATTAGCTTGGAGAGTGGGGCTGAAACCCTTTATAGGTAATTACTTGAAGTAATCGGCATATTGTCCCCGCGCCGACCTGGAACGGCTTCGCCGACGGACGCTCCGCAGTTGTCGTCGCCGCCTTACGGTGGAACAAGCGGCGGAAGTCGGCATTATCTCCGGGACCGGGAGCAATGCCGGGCTTGCTCTGAGGGATCCGGCTGCGGACGGTGGCGGATGAATCGCTGGGAGCTGCATGGCCTTTCTCTATCCCTCCTTTTCTCTGTGAAAGGCCCCACGAATGAATGAATTGGAAATGGCTGTCATGACCCTCGATTCGGAGTACCTCTGGGCCTCCATGGCTGCCGTCCACTCCGTCCTCAAGCACGCGTCCTGTCCGGAGAACATCTACTTCCACTTCATCGTGGCGGAGTTCGACCCGGCCAGCCCCGGGTTCCGAATCGGCTCGTCCGGTGAGCATTAAAATGATCATTTAATGGCTGCACTCGTCCGTTTCGGACTGATTTGACGCTTGGTGTCGTTAATTCCCTATTTGAGTTTTATTACATCAATTATTTGATGTTATTGGGGTTTTAATGGCCTTTTGATTAAATGTTACAAGAATTTAGTGATTAACTAAAGCAATTTTTTTTTTTTTAAAAAAAAGTGGGCGGAAGCTTAGCAAGCTAACTTTGGCTCTTAACCAATTAATGGCCTCATTGGTCCATTTATTTGGGTTTTAATACATCAGTTATTTTATTTGATGTTATTGGGTCCTTAATGATCCGTTACAAGTGATTAATGAGTCACTAAAGTGGTCCTTTTATGGCGCTTTACAACCTTTATGGTTGGTTTATATATCAAATTATGGGATAGAAAGAATTAACTTCTGACGGTCATAATTAATTTTTAACTTTTAGAATTAATTAATTTATGGTTTTCAAAGTACCAGAGGAGTAAACTGTCTAGTTCGCTGCCCGGTTTGCTAGAGAAGACCGGAAAGTCTTGAACATCTGTTCTTCAAATGCCCCTTGGCCACAAGATTGTGGTCGCTCATGGGTCTAAATGATTTCATCTCCTCGGCCCCGACTGTGAATTTCAGTCTCTGGTGGCGACATGTTATGCTTTCTGAGCACCCCCAAACCCACATTCTCCTATACGTTTGTGTATTATGGAGGATCTGGAAGTCTAGAAATAAGGTGGTCTTTGAGCATGTCCAGCCTCATGCCCGGTCTCTCGCTCGTCAGTATTTTTTTTCCAAGTTCGCGATCTGTCTTCCTCCCTTCCTTTGGTCCCTGCTCCGCCCCAGCCTTCCCGTTCTCGCCTCTCGTCTTGGTCCCCTCCTCCTGTTGGCTTTGTGAAGATCCCCTTTGATGATGCTGTTCGTCCTTCTGGGTGCTCGTCTGGTCTTGTGGTGCGCAGTTCATATGGGCATGTGGCCCTGGCTTTAGGGTCTCTCCATCCCGGTATTGCTGATCCCTATCTTGCGGAGCTCCTAGCAGCTAGGGACGCCATCGCCCTTGTAGTCTCCAATGTGCTGCCTCGGGTCATCATAGAAGGAGATTCAGAGGTGGTGATTCGGCAGCTTCGTCAAGGTGCTCTCTCTGACTCCATTGGAGGTCCGGTGTTTCGGGATTGCTCCCTTCTCCTTTCTTCCGTCTCTATTTCTTTAGAGTTTAGGGCAGTTCCTCGGACTGCTAACAGTGCTGCCCATAGAGTGGCGCAGAAAGCACTGTTACTCTCCCCTTTAGAGTTTTGCGCCTTTGATTTTGTGGGTTGGCTTCTCTGATGTATTGGGTTGGGCAGGGTCGGGGTAGATTGTATAGGTTTTCTCTTGACATTTCTTGAAAAAAAAAAAGAAGGGGAGCAGAAGAAGGATCTGCAATCTTTATCTCAGAAGGATTCAAAGTGGAGAAGAAGAAAAGAAGGAACGGTGTCGGATAAAATACGATGGCTACATATACGTGTAAAGATGAGGTGAAAATGGTAAAAAATTAAATTTTATTATTTTTTAACTCTCACGTCATTTATTTAACGGTCAATTATGAGAGTTTACTGCCACATTAGACAAAGTTAACAGAGTTTGACAAAGAGTGACCAAATTTGAACTGTTAAACTAATTTCATTGACCACGATTGTAGTTAAATATTTATATTGACCAAAAGTGAACCTTTTTAGTTTTTAGTAAATCTAGTGACCAAACTTGTAATTTATTCTGATGTTGTAGATAGGGATTTTGTATCTTTTATCTCTTTTCATTTTTAAATTTTAATGCTTTTACTTAATCATTTATTATTCAACTTTTGTTTGTTCAGATTCAAAAGGCAAACAAATAATTTTCATTTAAACATGTCTTTATTTTCAGGTTCCGCTTAAGGCACCTTCGTTTTCTTCAAAATTTGTTTTTTGGTAAAAAATTGTTTTTCCTTGTCACATCTATGGGTGTTCAAATGGTTATCATGATAATTACCAAACCAAACAAGTCAGAACTTTATTAACCGCGAAATACAATATCATAATCAAACCGTCCAAACTAATACAACAACCAAATTAACCAAACTAAAGTTTAATCGGTTTGGTTAATTGGTTAATCAGATTAACCAATATAACATCACATTATCATTAAGTGAGAAAATTTTCGATTAATGCATCAATTCACAATTTATATGATGAATAAAACACTACAATGAACACAAAGTTATAGTTACCTCTTACAGAATATACAGTAATGGAACAATAATGAGCTTTATTGTTCATGGGCCTAAAAGGAAGGAATGTTTAGCTCTTGAGTGGTTATACCAAGTATTTTTTTTTTTGGTGAAAGGTTATACCAAGTATTAAACATGTGCATATAATATATATTTGATTTATGGATATTTACTTAATTGGTTAATTTGGTTTGAGTATTTAGGACTTAGAGTGTTTGAAATCAAACCAAACCACCTAAACCTAACAAGCTAAAAATTTTAATCAAACCAAATCAATTATCCAAATACTACCTGTTAAAACGGTTACCATGATAATACACCATTTGAACACCCCTAGCCTACCAAGATGAACACCCTCACCACAGCCACATGAAACAAATTACAAGTTGACAAACAAACCCACCAATGTGCCGAGGTCGATCCTATCACGGTTCAGATAATAAAACTACATGAGACTAGCTTCGCATTTTAGTGTAGTATTTAATAGCTCCAGGGCAGGGAGTACACAAACAAAAATACAGTGCTAATTTAATCCGAGTCGAAAAATTTACAAAGTTGTGAATTCTACAAGACGGAAGAGGCGGCGGGGAATGGACAACAACATTGGACAATGGAAGCGGCCATATGGTGTAGCATCAGACTCTCTTGATAATGGTATAGGTATAGAAGCTACGTCTGAGTCTGGAACCCTGGGATTCAGTTAGCTTCTACAACACCTTCAGGTCGTGCAACATTCCAAGTTGATCCATCTGCAAATCGTAATAATGGAAAGTCGAATAACCGCTGTCAGCATATATTGCAGACGTAGAAAAGGAGTTGTGAGCAAAGAAAAGTGTACCACTGTGTTCTGTATCGCCTGTTAGCAAAGCAGGTAAAGGACCACTAATGCGCGGTCAGCGCTTTTCTTCATCTTCAGAATCCGACTCGGCAAATACTGGTTCAGGTTGGGTGTCTGCATATGCAGGAGCTATGTACTTCGGATCCTTAGCTGCAACATCAGCGTATTTGAGTATGGCTTCCCTAGGATCTTCCTCCATCCATGTCTCCTTGAGCATTCCACCTTTCTGCAAGTTAATGCAAACACTCGGCAGATTCAGTAACTGGTCGGAATGGGCAGTCGTCGGCTTGGGAAAAAAGGAAAAAGTTGGACAGACAACAAAGACATGGGTAGTAGTAGAAATATTACCTTCATCAGATACTGAGTCAGCATGCTTCCTTTACTTGAGCCAATTCTCCCACCATGTCCTGGCCCAGTCATGGGAAGATCAGGCTTATGAGACTTGAGGGGATCTTTCAGTATCTTCTCGCGCTGACGCTTGCGGCTTGGTGCATCTCTAAATAAGGGCAGTGCATGAGGATTATGGATAACAGGCTGAATCTCAAGATCATCCACCGATTTTTTCCTCGGAGCACGAGCAACACAGAGCAGAGCTCCTCTCTCACTCAGGGTTGGATCATAAAGGATGTGAGTTCCGCCTTGGCCTTTATCTCCAGTCGTTGCAAAAATCTTTAAATAAATAAAGAAACAAGAAGAGATTAGCATACTTAATTTTCTAGGCAATGATTCATGTGCATAATATGAATTTACAGCTAGTGAAGCAAATATATCTCTCAAACTAACATGATGATGGCCGTGAGAAAGACGATTACATTAGACAAGTAGGCAGTAGCCCATACAAAATCTAATTATTCGGCAGTTTGGACTCACCTGATTAAGCTTAGGGTGCCAAGCACATTGCACAACACTGTTTGGGGAGACACCAATTTTCGAAACAAGTTCGAGTTTTGAACGATCAAAAAAGCACAACAAACCTCCAGTTGGGCTCTCCCTTTCAACAGACGTTCCGGTCAAAATTAGCTGCTCGTCAGGGCTTAAAGCAACATTAGTCTGAGAATAATTATTAGGAAGATCCTCAAATGCCTTGAGAGCCTCTTTCGTTTTCCGCAAATCCCAAACCTAGAGAAGCATTTTGAAAAATAAATTAAATATATGAGAAGAAGGGGTGGTAAATATTCTGAAACTTTCCAACAAAAAAGAATTGAAGAAATTGAAGAAAAAGTTCTATCACCACCTTTAATGAACCATCAAAACTTCTGGAGAGTAAAATTCTTCCATCACTGGAGAACTTAATCCCAGTGATCTCATCAGAATGAGCCTTCTCTATGTGCACATCTGGTCTGCTTCCCCATCCAGGCTTGAGAGTCCATACCTGTATGAATTCAGAATAATAATAATGAGAACAATAGACGGATAGGAGTTTACAGGTGAGAAGAAGTAGAACAGAAACAATAAGAACAATTTTATGCATTAAAAATTTATCTACCAAACATTGTTTGCCAGTTCATTAATATCAAAAGAAGGGGCGTGAGGGATTGAGGGCGAACCTGTATAGAACCATCCCCAACCCCTCCAGCGATGTACTTCCCTTCACGGTCCCAAGTGCAAGTGGTCACTGGAGTCCTTCCAGGTCTAGCAAGCTTTGGCTTGATGACCTATTATTGGAGAATATAAACATATACCTTTTAGCATAGAGTCAAGTATATTAGTCTAATAAAGCTTACAAACATACTGCAAGTCATATATGCACTCATTTTGGAAGTAAAGAATAACACTGCCTACAAATGCAGGGAACACAGACTCCTCAACATTTGAGGAAATTATCCTGACTATAAAATTTATTCAACCACAGACTCCATAAGTGAAATGGGTAGTCTTCCATTTGGATTTTTCTGGTAGCCCCTTAAGAGAAGTTATCTTTGACTAAAAGGTTGGGTAACTTGTGGTAGCTTTGAACTTAAGGACAAGCACTAGTCACTCTTAAGAATCAAGCCACAAACTATCAGGTAGTTCTCACATGCATCTGTGGGTTGCTATGTGGAAAATCCTGGAAGTCCCTATACAGAAAACAAAAGATATATTGACCGTCTGAAGTGTACGGAAGCACACATGAAACTGGACAAAGCAAGAGGGCAAGCAGATCATGAGGTAGCCTCCGGAGACTATAAAATAACCAACCTGCTTCTGACTTTTGAAATCATTTATATCCCATATACGCAGAGATCCATCCTCTGATGATGTCAAAACTGTCTCCCTTGCTTTGGGATGCCATTCGCCACAAGTCAACCCAGTAATATGACCCTTGGTATTCTTCAAATCGCGAATGTACATGTCCCCTTTTACAAACTCGCCTAAAGTAAGTCCATCTCGATCATATATCTGAAACAGCAAGGAAATCGGAGCATACATCAGTTCTGGCCTTAAGTTCTTCTACCTTCCAAGCAAAGAAATATGAATGGGGGAAGAAAAAAATCCCCGCGTACCTTAGCCTGAGCAGAACCAGTGACGCATAAAAATTTGTCAGCACTAGGACTCCAACTTATGTGACGAACTTGATGACCTTCAGATGGTTCTAGCTGCCGGAATGACTGCAAACTTGAGTTCATCCCTCCAAAGTCATACATGCGGACAGTGTAGTCATAACTTCCCGAAAGAACTCTAGACCCTGAATGATCAATTGCAAGTGCTGAAACGATCTGCCAAGCAACATAAATAAATTCATTAAGCAATCCGTAGATTAAGGGGCTGAAACTTTCCATAAGGGCTCCCAGCAGCGATGAAACTCAGGTATTTAGCCCTGAAAACGACGAACTTCTGGTGCAGCATTATTACCTTAGTATGGCCCTTGAGAACAATTTCATTGCTCGTAGGAATTCGATGCTGATTCTCCTCTTCTTCATCTTCACCCTCATCCGAGTCAGACACCGGTGCAGTTGGTCTTGGCGGTCCTACCATCTCACCATCATCATCATCATCACTGTCATCAACAGCCCGTAATGGCGGTCTCGGTGGTCCGACCATAGCTTCGCCATCGTCATCGTCATCCACGGTCTGCCCAGGTGGCGGAGGAGGTGGCCCGACGGGGACATCCCGGTCGTCATCGTCTTCCTCGCGGTTGGAATCGGAATTCGCTAGCGACTGCGGCGGCCGTGAGGGCCCAATCCTAGGTTTAGGAGAAACGGGTTCAGACGAGGGTTTGGAGGATGAAGACTTTTTGTCGCTTTCGTTGCTGGCAGTAGCGGCGGTGGCGGAACGGCGAGTGGCGTTGTGGATCTGCTCGAGAGGGGTTTGGGATTTGGACTGTTTGCCGAAGGTGAGAGGGAACTGAGCTCGGGCGCCGTCGTAGATTTCTGCTTCGTCTTCCATGGCGGAAAGAAATTCGTTAATGTGTGATTCTTCTGAGGCAATTGTTTAATAGAAAAAGGCTAGCCGCCGCCTTCGCGAGCTTGCTCGGTTCAGAGCGCAACCGACGGGGACGGCGAATTGTACCGGCGGGGTAATAGAGATCCAAAACTTGTAAACAGCGTACACCTCGACAAGAAACCGACATTTTGTTTATCAGGCTAAGCCCATCTCAGTTTTCTTCCCCTAATTGGGCTTTCATCCCTTTTCGTTTAGTGCTCAGTGAGGGGTAGACTAATTTTCCAAGGTTATCAAACCGGTTTAGTACATTGATCCAATCGAATAAGTAAGTTGAGAGTTAATGATCTAATAACTCGCTTTAGTTTGGAATGATGAAAGTTCATTATATTGTTCATATATTTATTATTATATCAAATATCATCTAACGTGTAAATAATAACATATAACGTTACCAAAAGAACAAATCGTACTTGAATCATACATATAGTGAAAATTCAAACACACTAATATAACATCAATATTCAAATGTTGAACTTAAAAATCCAAAGGTAAGGTTAGGTAAAGGGAAATCCAAACTAAAGGAGAAAAAAGACGCCGTGTGACCTCCAACTCGAGAACCTTGTTGCGGGTCAACCCTCGAGTTTGTGGCACATGTTTTTCTCATTGGGTCCAGGTCAATCCGCAGATTAACAACCTTGCTAATTTCAAATTTCATAGTTGATTTAACAAATTTCTTTTCAATTTTGTCATTAATATAAGACAATGGACTCGACACATCATTAACCGTCAATGTGGTGTAATCTTGGGAATAGGTAGGGGCTAACACTAGTTTTAGCCATAGGAACATTTACATTTTGATGGCTTTTTTTTATTCCAAAGGGTTGGCCACAATTAATGTTGATTTGTAACAGAAGGGGCATGCTTGCCATTATTAAAATTTATAGGGGGTTGACCCTCATCTCGATGAGTTGGAGTGCCATCTGTGACTCAGTTTCTAAAATCAGAGTTCAGCTGCCACTTTGCCACGCCATACCGAGTCCATGATAGATGCCCGAATGTTCAGCTTGGACAGCTAAGCAGGCGCCCAACTTTAAGACAAAACCTATGATCTATCTTCCCTGGTTATCCCTAAATACACCGCCCGCTCCAACAGGATCTTACGCTCCATTGGCCACTCCATCAACATTTATCTTGCTCCAACTAGGTAGAGGAGGGCTCCGACTAATTTCTCTTGGCACGTGTTGAATCAGAGCAGGTCTACGACCCATGCTGTCTTTTGGTGCCAACCAAGCTTTATACCAAAGATTAGCTTTGATATTTATAGCTTGAGACAATGAGGGCTGTGAAAGCGTCTTCTCTCTACCTTTAAAATTTCCTTCATTCCTGTTCCATAAATTCCAAATAGCAATGCTGGAAAATACATTCCACGGCGTGTCAGCCACGGTCTTGTCATCATTCTGCAGGTTTTTTTATAGCCACGGATCAGATGCAAGCTGAAGAATTCATGTTGTTGCTCGGCTGGAACTGTGTGAGCCCAGAAAAAAGCTGTCGGGGGCAATCCCGGAGGATGTGAATCATCGTTTCCACCTGTGATGAACATCTATAGCAGAAGGGGGAGAGAGAGAGGTGTCGTTGGCACGTTGCTCACTGCAGCTGATCCTGTTATGAGCGACCAGCCACATAAAGTAGCAAATTTTCTCCATAACTTCTAGCTTCCAAATAGCTGTCCAAGATCGGACGCAGGTTGCATGAGTTGGAACACGCTTTTGGTTGAGAACCGGTCGTCTGAAGTGGGCTGTCAGAACATTTGATAACACCAAAAAAGGTGTTATTTACTCTTCATATTTAGGTTTGTTTTATGCTAATTCGTGTTCATAATCGGAAGAATATCGTCGATTGCATCCCTATTGCATTCCAGTTTGATTATGTTGTTATTGTAGAGTGCTTTAGATGATACATGTAAATTAGGTACGAAAAAGGTGAATAAGTGTAGAAAAATGGGCAAAAACGAAGATAATGGCTAAGTAGCCAAGATCCCAGCCAATGCAGTCAAAATCGCGCATTAAAACGTAAAAACTTACGTTTTTACGTATCCAGGTCACCAAAACGTTTCAGTTTCTACCTAAAGTCACTCAATCACAAAAACTGGTAAAAACACGGGTACAATCGGTAAAATCGCTTATAATCGGTAAAATCGCGATTCTGAAGCGTTTTTATACGATTTTGATCATCTCATAAAAATCGCGACTCACAGTGGTTCGAAGTTCTTAAGCAAGGGAAGAGTCACTCGGGAATGAGTCTCCCTAGCTCCTTAGTTAGGTCAAAGTTGTAATTTCCTTTGGGTGATTTACTGTTGATTAAACTGCGGAAGATCCGACAGTAGCTTGGAATCTCTTAAGCTGACAAGCCCTCTCAGACAGACTACCCGGCAGACGATTAGTCTTCACCGGGATAGAACGTTGAGGCAATTAACACAGAACTCCACTACTGGAATTGGATTCCAGTACAAAGCAGTGAATCGACTAACTCTCGTATAATTGATTCACTACTACCGATTGAAGAAGCCCTAACAACCTAATCAGATTCTATCTACCTCAGGTTGCAGCAGAAATCAAGAAAAGTTGATCAGGCTTCAATTGACTCAATGAATCATGCATCAATCGATTATAATCACACAGTATATCAATCCAAAAGTCATTACAATCAATATCCCTAACACATGGAACTAGGGTTCTTCATCCCCAAGTGAGAGAGGGTTCTACTCCATAGAGAGAGAGGAAAACAGAATACAAAGCAGTCAAACTCATAATGATGGGAAGAATCTGGTTTGAGATGATAATCTTCACTTCAAGGATGAAATCCAAACTTGATTGATGAAACCTCGCTCCAAAATCACCTTTATGGTTTGTTCTTCGCACTTTCTCTCTCTAGGACTCTGTTTTTGCTCTAGAAATTCGTCTCACTCTTCAAAGACCCGAAATTGGGTTAAAACCCAGAATTTTACGACCACATGGCCAGGCCACACGACCACGTGGAATCCCCAGCTGCCCGTGTGAAGTCTCAAAACGTGACGTTTGATTAAGGGACTTAATGTACGCTACACGGCCATAATCGCACGGCCGTGTAGAAATATTGCATGCCCGTGTGAACTCTCTGCAAATCCCACACGGCCAAAAAGGGCCCTTACACGGCCAATGTGGCTTTGCCCGCACAAAGGGGTTCCACACGGCCAAGTCACACGGCCGTGTGGAATTTAGGTCAGGTCGTGTGGTTTCCTCAGCTTTTCGTCAAACGTCCCAACTTCGTCCAATCGACCCCCAACTCGTGCCCAAACCTTCCTTCGCTTACTAGGAGTCTAGGACATAAAATATCACAAACAAGAACCTAGCGTGAAATCGGCCTAAAACACGTGAAATGAGGCTCAAACAGTATGAAAATGGTGGACAAAAACATGTGTAAATTATGAGTCATCAAAACCCTAGTTCCCTCTGCCACTATAGGTGTCAAAACATAGCCCGACCCGATTAACCCGCCCGATCAACCCGACCCGCAACTCGACCGCAACCCGAATTGACTAAAAGTCAACAACCCGTAACCCGCCCGACCCGCAACCCGATTGACCCGCAACCCAACTAACCCGCAACCCGACTGACCCGCAACCCGACTGACCCGAACCCGATTGACCCGCAACCCGACTGACCCGCAACCCGATTAACCCGAACCCGATTGACCCGAACCTGACTAACCCGTAACCCGACTGACTCAACCCGAATTTCATCTAATCCACTTGAATAATTATAAAAATATACAATACATCGTTTTTCAAAATAAAGTTTTTCATTCTAAACTTAAGTAAAATTATTTTTTCATTTCGTATAGGAAATTTAAAAAATATGAAACTCACTTGATATTACGTATTTTAAGAAAATTACAAAAATTGAAACATGAAGGTCACTTGAGATCATGACAATATTAATATAATATATAAATTAAAATTTTGGTTAATTTAACTATTCAATAAAATTATCAATTAAATATAAATAAAGTAAAGTAATATATTTGGTAATTTGATGTTTTTAAATGAAGAGGGAAATTTTGGTGTATTCAAGTTTTTGGGAAGAGAAAGAAGAGGGAAATTTGGTTCTTTGAATTTTTTAGAAAAGAAACAAGTGGGAATTTTGGTGGTTTTGATATGTGGGAAGAGAAAAAAGTGGGAAAATTTGATTCTTTTGATTATGAAAGAGACATAAGGAGGGAAACTTTTGAGTTTTCAACCTTTTGTAGAAGGAAAGAAGAGGGTAATTTGGTTCTTTCAATTTTATGGAAGAGAAAGAGGAGGGAAAATTGAGTTTTCTAATGTATGGAAGTAGAAAGAAGGAGGGAAATTTTAGTATTTTGTGAAAAGAAAGAAGGAAACAAATTTGGTGTTTTCAATTTTTTGGTTTTTCATAATTTTAGCTTTTGAAATATGAATCTTTAACTTTTATATGGAGGGCATGACTAGTTAAAATTATTCTTATATGCTTTGAAGGCTAATATATATATATATGTATGTAATTGTTTATGGGCTAATAAATAAATTAACCATTAGTTACAACAATTTATACTAAACTTGATAAGTAATCTTTGACGGTTCGTTGTTTAGGATATAAAGTATATGGTTAGGGTATAGGGTACATATGGTTTAGGGTGTATATGGTTAGAGTATAAGATATTGATGGTTTTGACGGTTCTAAGTTTTTTTATTAACATATGTTCACTTGAAGTCATTTGAAGTCTTTAACGGCAGGAGATCCCTTTTTAATTTATGTTTATGGTACGTGGTTAGGGTACAAGGTATGTGGTGTAAAGTATAAGATATATGGTTAGGGTATAAGAATTAGCAAATATCACTTTTTATCTATGTTTTGAAAATCAAAGTATGAATTTCACTTTTAAATTAACTATACTAGCAAAATCACAACTCAAAGACATATGGTTAGGGTATAGGGTATAGGTTATGTGGTTAGTGTATAATGCATTGATGGTTTAGGGTATGCAATCAACAACATATACTAACTTAATATTGTTGATTGAGGGTAAGGCTAAGTGTATAGGATATATGCTATTGAGTAAGTTATGATTGAAGTAACAATAATTTTACTAAATTTGATAGCTAATCTTTAATGATTCAATTTTTAGGATAATTCGAACAATTTTACAAATAACTCGTTTGACAACAGTTTACTGAAGTTATTTGAGCAATGAGTTATTTCGAAATAACTCATTTTATCACTATGCTTTTGCCAAATACCACACACCAAATACCAGATTTGCATGGTTATACTAAATGAGATACTTTAATCCAATTACAAATTGATTTAACATTTTGACTAGTTTTTTTCAAAAAAACAAAGTATATATATACGAGATAGAAATAAATTGGTTAAAAAGTTAAGAAAATATTTTAAATTAGTGTAATAAAATGTGTAAGTTGGTAATGAGTAATGAGTTAAGTTACTTGATGCGCTGGCCCGAACAACCCGAAACCCGATCCGCCCGCAACCCGCCCGACCCAAAATCCGATGAACCCGCAACCCGATTTGCCCGCAACCCGATTGAACCCGAACTCGATGAACCCACAACCCGACTAACCCGCAACCCGTTTGAACCCGAACCCGATGAACCCGAACCCGATGAACCCGCAACCCGACTAACCCGCAACCCGTTTGAACCCGAACCCGATTGAACCCAACCCGAACCCGCCCGAACCCGCCCGATTGACACCTATATCTGCCACCGTCCCTTCTCGACCTCATCCAGAAAATCCCACTGCCACGGCGCCACCGTCCCTTGATCCCTTCTTCTCATCTAGAAAATTCTTCCGCCACGCCACCGTCCCTTCTTGTCTAGAAAATCCAGAGAGGTAGAGATTAGAAAATCTGCTCGCTATGCCGCCGTCCCTGCTCGATTCGAGTTCAGCGGTCGATGCTCAGCGGCGCAACACATGTCGCCGCCCGCAGTGGCAGGCTCGATTTCCTTAGAGGCTCAGACGGTCAACCTCAGTTCCTCTCCACATTTGCTCTGCTCGTCGACATCAAAAGTCCAAACGGTTTTTTTGGTTAACCGCGATTTGTCACACAATCGCGGTTACATCGGTTGGTGATGCCAGTAACTGCGGTGCACCTTTAACTGCATTTTGCGGTTAGCGGTTAACCGCTAACCATCCCAAATGCGGTCGCGGTTGGTTAGTATGGACACTTTGCAGTTAACCGCAAATTGCGATGTAGTTAACCACAACCGCACCGTTTTCTAGGGGTGGGCAACCGGTTCGGTAAATCGAAACCAAATTAAACCGGGCCGAAACTGAATGAATGATATTCGGTTCGGAATTCGAAAGGAAAATATGCATAGTTCGTAAAACATGGTTCTTTCAACCGAACCGAATTTTCGAATTTCCGACCGAAAAACCAAAATACTATAATTGCAAGCTCCAAATGGTGGACTTTTATGTTTGTAGTTGTTTTTAGACCTAAATATTTGAAATGTTTTATGACTTATGTGTTGAAAAGTTTGATTTTATCATTGATGATGGATATAATTACATATTTATTGTTTATATTAGGGGTGAAAAATAATTTAAAAGTGAGAAGATACAAGTAGCTTCACAAATTTGATTTTGTGTGAAGAAAGCCAAACCGAACCGAATTATAATTCGGTTCGAATTCAATTAGAGGTTTGGAAGAATTCGGAAACCCAGTATTCATAATTTCGATTCGATCGAAACCGAACCGACCAAATGCCCACCCCTACCGTTTCCCACCCCTATAATTAAAAGGTGGAGATTAGTGCCCGCGTTTGTCCGTCGCTTAATGTGGTGGAATTTGGTTTTTTGCTTGCGATTTTATTCGTTTCCCAGCCTAATTTGGTTTAAAGTTCTTTTTTTTTTTTTTTTTTTCATTTTTAAAGCATTTTTGCATCTAATTGGAGTAGGTATCGTATCTTACCTCATTTGGCCTTTTTAGCTTGGCTTTGGGGATAGTCTAATGGAAGAAAAATGAAAATCATCGTCTGCTTCGGTTTGTTATTGAGTGGGTAGTTGACGGGTTTGTTCATTGTTGCTCCCAATATGGATCTTTACGATTACTAGCGTCAAGTTTGTGAATGGGTACTCATCGACCACGTCGTCACTTTTTTTCTTCCGGTCGACCCGTGCCGAACCAAATGTTGTCGTTTCCGTCTGGTCTCGGCAGCCTCCGTCCGCCCTTGTTTCCTTGTCATCACTTCCTCGTCGGGTTCGTTATTCCCGACGATTTGGTAGCCAATTAGCCGTCCACTGCAATGCAGGATAGCTCTTCTCTCGCTGCTATTTAGTGACCCTCCATCCACTCCTCTTGTCTTCCGCACTGACATTAAGCCCACTCTGCATCGACTCTCCGCTCATCAAATAGTGGGAAAGAGAGCGAGACAATAATGTGAAGTCTCAGTGCTTCTGTTCTGTTATTTCACCAGAAATGGAGGTGGGTTTACTGGGGTTTCGCTCGTTTTTTTTCTCATTCCGGTTTTGGTTTCTTCACAGGGACGGGGAAGGAGGAGGAGGGTTGAAGCCGATGGACTCAGAGCAACTGAGAGAGTATGGACACCAGATGGTTGATTTTATTGCTGACTACTACAAGAATATTGAGAATTACCCTGTCCTCAGCCAAGTCGAGGTTTGCTGCTCCAAGGATGCGCTCCATTTTTTTTTTCTTGTTTCTTGTTGCACTTTTGAGTATTGGGTTCATTGAATGATTTGCTCATCTTTAACTGCAGCCTGGTTATCTCCGGAGGCTGCTACCTGATGCTGCACCAAATCAACCTGAATCATTGCAGAATGTCCTTGATGGTATGATCTGTATATAATATGAATGCTAACAGAATTCAGTGTTTTGTTGGTTACTCTTTTGTTTCCTTTTGAACTTATACTTTGTGGGGTTTTCATTTGATTGTAGATGTTCAATCGAAGATACTGCCAGGGGTGACTCATTGGCAAAGTCCAAATTTCTATGCTTATTACCCTTCAAACAGTAGTGTTGCGGGATTCTTGGGAGAAATGCTGAGTGCTGCCATAAACATGGTGGGTTTCAGCTGGATAACTTCTCCTGCTGCCACGGAGCTCGAGATGATAGTGCTTGATTGGCTTGGCAAATTGCTTAAACTACCGCAGGAATTCCTCTCGCCAGGTAACTGTTCTGCTGTCCTAGACTTTCTGATTCTCTTGTTCACTTTGTGAATGTTCATGTCAAAGCTATTGAATGCATAGCTTGGTCTTTGATATTGCTGGAGGTGGAGGTGGCCACATCCAGTTCTGACATGTCTTATGGTTCATTGATTTGGATGTCTGTCTGACAAGCAAGACTTTTTTGTTTGATGAACTTGGAGAGGTTTGATTTCAATGTTTGGTCCAAACAATTTTAGATATGTAACATACTAGGATTTTGGTACTGTACATTGACCGAAAGTAACATAATGTTGGAAACATGGACTTGGGAAACAGTTGCAATTGATCATTTTATGTTGTAAACAGAAGATAAACAGGTTAAACTTTATCAGAATTTTGATGGTAAGATGGGAACAAAGATCAACCAAGTTTCTGAAGATTGGTAACTCATTTTAACAGGACATGGTGGTGGAGTGATACAAGGAACTGCAAGTGAAGCTGTTCTGGTTGTACTCTTGGCTGCTCGTGATAAGACGTTGAGGAGGGTTGGGAAAAGTGCTCTTGGCAAGCTAGTTGTTTATGGATCTGATCAAACACACTCTGCATTACAGAAAGCTTGCCAGGTATTTCTTGCTTACGCGTTGCCATTCGTGATTCCACCCATATTACTATTCAAAAGTCTTATTAGTGTTATCATATATGCTGAATTCGCCACATCCCTCTGCTAGCTTCTGGTGTCTGATATATTAGACACCCATCCTTGTTATCTGAAATATTCTTAGCTTGTATTCTTTGTGTGATCTAATGCACTAGCTTGTAGCATATATTAGTGTGGTATATTGGGGCCAGTTCTCTTGTCTTTTTTAAACATTTTCTGCTTTGTTTATGCATATACTGGTTAATCGATGATTACTAGTTACACGATACACTTTTGGATAAGTTTGTTGATTTTCTCTATTTCCTTGTACTCTTCTGTTTATGGCAGATAGGTGGAGTTCATCCTGAAAATTGCCGGCTGCTGAAAACAGACTCCTCAACAAATTATGCTCTTCCCCCGGAAATTGTTAGTGAAGCAATTTCACATGACATTTCTATAGGATTGATCCCCTTCTTCCTTTGTGGAACTGTAAGAGACTGAACCTGCCTTTGCTTTTAATTGATAGTTATTTCATCATGTCAAGGCTGTTCCTATTTTGCTTCAGCAAACTAGTTGGTGGGAATTTTGTGATTACCTTTTGCTGGGTTTCCATATACAAAATGGAAAGAAATTGGAAGTTGTAGGTTCTATGTTCAGTAGTTGGAGTGACTTCTTTGGACACACCAAGACTACCAAATCATTTTAATATTCCTCATGATTTGGTGATAAACTCGTCGTGCTGAGCTCTTGCTGTTTGGTGGAAGTAGACTAGAAGCAACTAGGAAGAGGATTTTACTTCTATTCTGCATTTTGGAACTTAAAACCCACTAGATATCATGTAGCAGTGAACTTTTTATATTTTCCCCGTTCTACACAATAGAAGTTAACACTAGGATACTTGACTGGAATGCTATTGATAGGTTTCACCCTCAAGAAAAAGTCTAGAATTGAAACCAGTTATTATTTTGTATGTTTGCTATTGAGATGCTACACATCTTTAGTTGAATTGGTATTGACACTAATGCTGCAGTGCATTAACACAACTAGTTGCTTATCAGTGGTATGTTGACCGTAATTTCTACCAGATAACCTTTGCATGTGTCTACAGGTTGGCACTACTTCATCAGCAACTGTTGATCCCTTGTATTCTCTGGGCAAGATCGCCAAGGTCAGTTATAACTTTTATATTTCATAAATTCCACAAGTTTTTTGCAAGTACTGGATTATATAACAATTCTGACTACTCAGATTGCAACCATCCAGTAAGACTGAATAGAAACAGGCGAAAAGAATGCAGAAACAAGCATGTAAACTTGGTGTTTGCCAGAACTTTGTCATTATTGTCCTTTCTCTTCCTTAATAGTCCAGGAACAAAGCAAAATTTGTTCAGTTCTCACCCTTGTTCCCTATCAATGTCATTCTCAAGATTACCAATGAACTTCATAATGCATTCTTATGACTCAGCTTACTATTATCTCGTGGACAGAGTAATGACATGTGGTTTCATGTGGATGCTGCATACGCGGGAAGTGCTTGCATATGTCCGGAATACCGCAAATACCTTGACGGTGTTGAAGAAGCAGACTCTTTCAACATGAATGCGCACAAATGGTTCTTAACCAACTTTGACTGCTCAACCCTTTGGGTCAAGGTATTTCATAAACATCTTTATCACATGTTGTTATGGATAGTATGCATTGGAAAATCTATAGTTTTGGTCCTTCTGCACATGAGCCGTGTTGGGGGGGAAGAGATTCCTTCCATTGGGATCACTGAGACTGCATTTCTTGTAGCAGTCTCAATGCTTAAAAGAAGAGAACTTCAACTATTATTGACATCATGGTACTCCATATGTTCAGTTTCCCTTTGTTCTTCTAAATTGAAGCTAGAATTTATCTAGGAAATTCCTATTCATTACTCTGGCATGTGCCATAATCAGATAGATACCTGCTAGAGTTCTATAGTCATAGTTTTCCTGATGCTACACTCTCCTCAATTTAACAGTAGGTGGAATTAAGTCTGACTACTGAGACTTTGCATTGGACCACTTTGGTCTATTGCCAACTTTTCTTGTATATGCTTGTCTCTAGTTGCATGGTTAGTTGGTTACCGTTTCAGTTTACATGGATATTACTAACTTATTGCTTTGTTAATGTATGATGATACCAGGATAGAAATGCTCTCATCCAGTCCCTCTCCACAAATCCAGAATTTCTGAAGAACAAGGTAAATATTTTGTCTATTTACCTGCTAGATACCACTTTTTTCAATTGTCAATAATTGTATCATGGTTAGTGGTTTCGTGATCGAGAAATCGATTTGAACATATTAATGTTTATCAAACTGCGGTTTAGGCATTTCTCGTCGAAGTTGTGTGAAGTTGGTGGTAATGCTGCTTATAGACAACCGTTCATCATGTTTTCCCCTCTATCATATCTATTGCGAAGTTGGTAAATTTACAAGTCTTTAACATTGCAGGCCTCACAAGCAAACTTGGTGGTTGATTACAAAGACTGGCAAATTCCTCTTGGACGTCGGTTCAGGTTTTCCTTACATACCTTATGGCTCCTACAAATTTATAATGCTTTATAATGGTTGGTCATTGAAACACGAATACAAAGGGTTTGACACCTAACCTTATAAGATTTAGTTCTTACACCAACGCTTATCATTAGGTCATTGAAACTATGGATGGTACTACGATTATACGGTGTGGAAAATCTACAGCACTACCTCAGAAATCATATCGAGCTGGCAAAATACTTTGAAGAGTGTGTCGGCCAAGACTCTAGATTTGAGGTAAAGGCCATTCCTTTCCTTCCTCCAATTCGACACCAGCAGATATCTTTTGAATCATTTCGATCATTTTCTGTGGGCTATGTGTGCCAACCCTGCAGGTTGTTGCCCCACGTCTATTTGCACTAGTCTGCTTTCGCCTCCTACCTCCTGTTGGTGACAATGAAGTTTGCAGGAGCAACAAACTGAACCAGGTCCTGCTGGAAGCTGTGAATTCAACCGGGAAACTTTTTATTTCCCACACTGTAAGAACGTTAGATCCTTCCTGCTGTAGTGTAGTTAATTCTATCAGTTGAGCAACTATATCACCATCAGTTGATTGAATGAGATGATGACATACATTACTGCAATTCCAGGCCTTATCAGGGATGTACACATTGCGTTTTGCGGTAGGAGCACCATTGACGGAAAGGAGACATATAGCTGCAGCGTGGAAAGTACTGCAAGACGAGGCCTCTACTCTACTTGGTACTCCACTTCAGGACAATGGCAACCCCTCCTAGTATCCACCACCTATTTTGCATTTGTTGGGGATGGTTTCCAAGCAAAACCATTACCACAAAAGCGATAAAGCTTTTGTTGTTATAAATCATGGGAAGCCTCTGAAATCTGATTTGTCTGGAAATAAGTTTTTTTTTTTAATGGGCCGTAGTGGTTGGGTTTGCTTTGTTGAATCATTGTATTAGGATTTGCTTTCGTTGTATAACTTTGATCTTAGCCAGAGAAAGGTATTTCGTTGTATGGTAAAACCTCTCTAAATCAATATAGTTGGAATGTGAAAATTATTAATTTATAGTATATAAATTAAAACAACTATGCATGGTGTTAGTTTCATTATTACTTTTTTCGTTGATTGTTGGTTCTAACTCCTAAGGTTCAAAATCTAATGTGTGGTAGATGTTATCATCCCCATATTATCACTAGACTAGAACTAGGGCTGCAAATGAGCCAAGCCGCTCGCGAGCAACTCGGCGTTCGAATCGGAAAAAACTCGTTCGACACTCGACTCGTTATTTAACAAGCCGGCTCGCAAGCCAACTCGTTAGTTAACGAGCCAAGCCTGAGCTAGACCATGCTCAGCTTGATAAGCTCGCGAGCTAGCTTGATTCGGTGGCTTGTCGAGATAAACTCGCGAGCTGCCTTGTTTTGAGCTTGTGGAAGGATGAATTACTATTTTAAACATGAACATTGTCTTCTAATATAGATGTGTATGAAATTTAGATGTTTTTTTATAGTTTCTAGTGTTCTTTCTATCATTTAAATTCTTATGTTTATACATTTTTCCAGCAAAAATGATTTTAAATCGAGCTCATCTTGAGCCAAGCTTGTACTAAGCTTGACAAGATATGTTAATGAGCATTTATCGAGCTCTACCGAGTCGAGCTCGAGCTAGATTATTTTTATTCAAGCCGAGCTCGAGCTCGAGCTGGATTATCAAAATTCGAGTTCGAGCCGAGCTCGAGTTGAAAAATTAATAAACGAGCCGAGCTCAAGCTAAGCAAAAACTCGACTCGACTCGGCTCGTTTGCAGCCCTAGACTAGACCAACCCCTTAGGATTTTTCAAAACTACTTGTTACAGTTAGATGGCAATGGGGAGGGACGAGGTGGGTCGACCCACTTATATATGTTATTTGAAACTAATACACACAAAATTTTACTTTTTACGATAAAATAAACGGAAAAACACTTTATGAATGAAAAATAGTGATAATAGAATGGGTAATTGAGTCTAACTATTGGAAAGACCAAAACTAACTAGTTGAAAAAACCAAAATATGAATAGATACTATAAGAAATTGCGATATAATGGGTCAAGAACGGGGCGTGCGGGGCAGGATGGGTCGGAAGTAGATACCCATGCCCCGCCCCATGCTACTGCGGGTCGAGTAATACCCGCCACATCACGGGTCAGGTAGGGTAATACCTGGCAGAGCGGGTTGAAATTGTCATCCCTAATTACAATTAGAGAAGATAACAATGAAGATTTTGAATGCAATGAGAAAAGTTCAAGATAAACTACTAGACTTTAACTTCAAGAAGAATCAAACAACTATAGAATCATATTTTTCTAAATTATTCTAGTTATATTATAAATCTCTTGGTGAATAATTGCACAACTTTTACTTTATAGAATTAAAAATACATATATTATAGATGGTTTACAGTATAACTAAAGTTATGTAAAACTTCATTACCGGATGTGTATAAATTGAAATCTTATCCATTAAGGAGAAATAAATATGATGATCCATAATAAATGGGGTAGAAAATGAAATTTGGCTTTGTGGGAGGTCCAAAATGCATTTTCATTCTCACAAATCCTTAACTCATTTTGTCACCTTCTGATTTTGTTTTTTATAAACTTGCTCTATCCGATGCCATTCATTTTGATATATATTGTAAAAAGATTGGGTACACCTATGGTAACATGCAAGTCATCGTGATTTGCACAATTCGGTAGACTTATGTGCTCATTTGGTTGACCGGTTACACTATTGTGGTCATTCTGATAGAAACTACGGTCAACCATTAACATATAATGAGCGACCGACGACCGTTATAAGGTAGTCATTATCAAAATGATCGACCACAACAAAAAATTGGTAGACCTATTTGAAACAATTTCATAAAATAAATGGTCTACCATAATAAGAAAGAGGCCGACTTTTCAATTTAGTCATATACAAAATGGTGGACCGTAAAAAAAAGGTCGACCACTTCAGGGTAGTCATTACCATGTCTGCAATGAGGCTGGCCATCTCCAGCAAGAGGTCGACCAGATAGAAGAGTCGACAACACATCAATCCATCCCTCTTGAAGTGAAACGTAGAGGAAAATGTTGATTTTGCGGTCGATTGCTTACAGTAAAATAATTCTGCGGCCTTTGAATTTTTTACTTATGTCTGTCAATGTTTGTACTTTGTTGGTCTAAGAAATTATGATAGAAACCAACAAATTCAATTCACAATTATAATAACAAGAAACCATAACTTCTTAACAGCTTAATCACTAACGCCAAATACAATAAAACACATCTTACAATAGTTCACACATACCTAAAATCGAAAACCACGATGACTTAATATCAATCCACCATCATAGTTGCTTTAAACCAAATTGCCTTTAAGACTTGACAAATTTCACAACAAAAAAACAATCTAAATCATGGAGTTCCTAGACCTCTCTCTTCTCACTTATCCGCATTTTTCTCATTGGTGTTGCTAGCATTATGGTAATCGGATGTGGTGGGATGCATGTATCTTCCACTGAAAGATCAGAATTTATCTAGCATCTCTGTTACACTCACCTGTAATGTGCTCATGTGGTTGGGCTTTGAGCTATGGTATTGTATATGGAATTAATATAATGGGTATTACCCATACTACCAAAACGGGTATTAGCAGGTAACCCGTGGGTACCCAATGTCAAAATTCTTAATCCCAAGTCTCATTCCATAATAAATATTACAGGTATTTGGGTACCCGTAACCCTAAAGAAATGGGACGGGTATGTGTATACCCAAATACCCGGTTCCTGTTGTCCACCCCTACATAATTTCGAGTTCGATGTTGATAAGGTAATGCAATAGAGGCCTACCCTTTTAAGAATAAGGTAGACCATTTAATGTACAAGGTTGACCACTTTAAGATTGAGGTCGACCTTTTTTATTTTTTGCTTGCCAAAGAGCTCGACCATTTCATGTACAAGGTCGACCGCTTTGTTGATTGTAACTAAACAGAAATAGTAGATTCAGTCAACCTTTATTACTTTGCGGTTGACCTATTTGTGCAACTTACGGTGACTTGCAAGTCAACGTAGCAAAGTCCTAAAAGATGTTACCTAGAAGTATTAAACTCGGGTCTTAACAGATAGTAGGCGTAATAGCTTCCACTAGATTATCCTAGTTATTTGGAATTGATTTTTCACACATAATTACTAGTATAGGGTCCGGCCTTTTGGCCGGTAGAGTTTTTCCTCACTATTCAATCTTAACTATTTTTTATGGAAACCTTTTTGATACTTTTATTACTCAGAACTGGGGTTTACATTGTCCTTCTCAAGTTGACCTATAACAAAAATCGAAGGTCGGTCAAGCAAAACCACCCATTCATTCCATCTAGTCTTTGAGTGTACCATTATGTGCAGAACACTATTACCCAACCGCAGGCAATGCTTCCATGATCCCTAACCCAACTCTTCCAAATAACGGTGAATATTGCGACAAACAACTCCATTCTTAGACTAGACTAAATGCTCAGTATTAAACATGTTCACCAAGACCAGACAATTTGTTTCAAGGATATGGTTTGTGAGCTGCATTTGGTGAGAAATCTGCATACCGAGCTCCGCAGCCAGAGCTTTTGCCATCTCAACTTCATGGACATCTATTACCTTCTTCACCGTTGCAAATATACACTTTCCATCTGCATCTCTCACTACCACACCCAGCCCCGCTCTACCGCCTTCCAATAACCCAACATCTGTGTTAATTTTTACTTTGCCTGGAGCTGGTTTTACCCATCCCTTCTCAATCTGCAGGCTGCCATCCTCCTCTCCGTGAGCTTGCTGCCTTTGGTACTCATAAAGGAAAGCAATTGCCAATCTCCTTCTCAGGGTATTGTGCCCATTAAATAGCTGAGCATTTCTTTCCTTCCATAAAAACCATAGTAGAGTTGTCCATGCTTCAAGGTTCTCATCATCAACCGTCTTTATTACCTTCTTAAACCAAGAATAGAAGTCTACATTATGTCATCGGGGAGGGCTGCCATAGTCGGGAAGCCCATTCACATTCGCAAAAATAGTGGATTTGTAAAATGCGGTAATTTATTTTATAATCCCGAAAAAACCGAACCCACAATTGTTGTTGATATGACTTGAATCGGACTATCAGCCGCTACGACTGGTAATCGGGGGTCTCAATGTTATTTGGGTTCGGGTTCTGGGCCTGGTCTGTAACCATTTCCTTTGTCAGATTGGATTAGGTTTAGACCCACATGAAGAAGTACTATAAATACTTCTCATACTCCTCTGTAATCTGTAATCTCCTCGATATAGTGAAGCTGGCTCTCTCTCGCCCGTGGACGTAGCTAACACACATCGTGTTAGTGAACCACGTAAATCGTGTGTCTGTGTTTTCGATTCTCGCTTTCGTATTCTTGCTTTGTCGATTCCGGCGATTTTCCGATCCGTAGCAGCGCGTTTATAACAATTGTTTTTTGATAATTTCAACGAATCAGAACCATTGACAATAGCAGTCCTCGTACACCAGACAATCTCCACTGTACGCATCCATCTCAACGGTCAGCGCAAATGCTGTAATATGTTTTATAATCTCACAAAAAACAGAACCCGCAATTAACTATTATTCCATAAGCTCACCACATGTCAACTAAACCCTTTATGTCTTCCTGTAACAAGGGATGAAATAAAAGCTACCATGTTTTCTATGAAGAGTGAAAAGTCTCTGGGCCCTGATGGATTTACAGCAGGGTTCTTATAGTATAACTGGGAGATTATCAGTAATGATGTTGTACTTGCAGTTCAAGATTTCTTCAGAGCTGGCTGAATGCTTTCTAAGGTAATTAATCAACTTACCTAGCTCTTATACCTAAAGTACTAAATCCAGTATGTAACAATATAGACCAATATCCTGTTGTAACATTCTTTACAAATGTGTAGCTAAAATCCTAGCAAACATACTAAGAGCCATTTGTAATAAGTCCTAATCAATATGCTTTTATCAAAGGTAGGTTGATTAGTGACAATATTTTACTTTCTCATGAGATTGTTAAGTTGTACAACCGAAAAGCTATCTCACCAAGATGTGCCCTAAAATTTGATGTGATGAAGATCATCGATAGTCTGGAATGGAATTACTTAGAATATATTATATTTGAATGCTATGAGATTTCCTTCATAGTTTACTTAATGGATTATGGCTTGTTTAGTTACTATTAAACTGAGTTACTATTCCAACAAAGAAATGGTTGAGGCAAGGCGATCCACTGTTCCCTTACCTCTTTACTATTGCTATGAAAACTCTTTCATGTATCTTAAACCGAGCTGCAGCTTCAAAAGTTCCTCCACCTCATCTCTAAACACACATAATGGGCCTTTCTCGCCTCTGTTTTGCTAATGATCTCTTCACCTTTATAAGAAGGACTTGTGAGGTTGTAGAAGTTACAAGGAAGATCCTGGATACGTTTTATACATTTTCTGATTTTAGATGCATCCCTGAAAAAGTCAAGTATTTTGTGTTGGTGTGGATACTATAACTCAGCAACATATAACTACCAAAACTCGTTTCCTTATTGATAAACTACTAGTAAGATACTTAGGGATTCTTATTGGTTGCTGGGAATCTGAATGTTGCAGACTATCGTGTTTTAGTAGAAAAAATGGCAGCTAAGGTGAGGGATGAGGAGTGGAAAATTCTATTCTATGTTAGAAAATTACAGTTAGTTTCATCTGTAATTTTTAGTATCTCCCTATACTAGATGAGAATTGTCCAACTTCCCGTGAAAGTGATTAAGATGGTTGAAAAGATATATTCTGATTTCTTATGGAGATGTAAGGAGGATGGGAAGAAAGCTAAGGTGTTGTGGAGGTATGTGACAATGCCATAGAAAGAGGGGGGTTTCTCAGGAGCTAGAACACTACTTGTCTCATTAGACATCTTTGGGCCATTTTTTCAAATTCCTCTTCTCTCTGTGCTAACTAGGTGAGACATTATCAGCTCACCTATACCTCACTTTGGGATATCCATTCATCTATTGCTTGTTCTTGGGCTTGGAGGAAGGTATAGAAGGCTATATCTTTGGCTACTGGACATCTCTAGGGTGAGGGTTGCTGGTGTACACTGTAATGGTGTTTTGCTGAAGACATACTTTATGAGGATTATTTGGGAAAAAATTAGACAAAAACAAGAAAAGGTTGGCTGGTACAATCTAGTATGGAAATCCTGGAGCACCCCAAGAGATAAACTGATAGTTTAGCTTGTACTAAAAAGGATAACATCTCTTGATAAGATTACACAACTGGAATTCATCTGGGTAAAATGTATGCCCCCTTTGTAACTCAATGGCAAAGTCCAGACACCATATCTTCTTTAGATGTTCCTTTTTCAACAGGTATTCTGCAAGCTGTGTTTAAGTCTGTGACTTTATCAGTAGGAAGCTCGTCTGATTCCCTTGTTGTGGCAGTTACCCTATTCAAGTTTGATACTCCAAATTATGTGCAAGGAAGATTATATTGGATGATTGTGGTTAGTGAGCTATGGCGAGAGAGATGTAGAAGACTTTATGATAAAAAAAAGGCATACTAAATTTCAGTTTGTAAAGAAAGTTCAAGAGTTATTGTTGTTATTAAAAGCTAGTTGTCCTCAAGTTGCCTCTTTTGTTTATGATAATGACATACGCAGTATAGTGTAAATGGTAGTCTATATAGATTAAGGTTGTATACTTTGGTTGTGATATGATGTTGTATACTTAGTTGTGAATTGTGTTGTTTTTTTTTCTGCCAGTTAGGGTGGCTTCTTGTTGCCCTTTCTTAATGAATAAAACTTCTTATTAATAAAAAATCAATTAAATCATAGTTACTAAATTAAATATAATTTCCTAGAAAGAGTATCGTTCCACCAGAAAAGTCAAATTCAAGAAAAATATCTAAGTCAGGGCGGGTTCTTATGCGTTCCTCACTTGTCCATCACTGGAAACACCCCTTCACATCCGACTTGCATATTTTTAGTTTACATATACTCATAATTGTTGTTATAATTAAAATTGTGAAAGATTTTTTTTATTGAAACGAATCAATACGGATTAGTTATGTATCAATTTTTATTTTCTTATATCTCAGTGCATGGATCAGCGCCTTCATATTGAGTGAAGGGGTCGAAGACCAATAAGTAAGTTAATTATTAGCCAAATATTCTTCTTACGACTAGATCCAATCTCCTAGTCTCTGCAGAAGGGGGGGGGGGGGAATGTTCACGTTCTTCCTTTCGGGAAGGGAGGGTTAGGAAAGCCATATTGATTGTAGTTTTCTCCAGACCTCCGGGGAAAAAATGTGTCAAGAAAGGCGACAACTTGCATGGGAGTGGCGTTGGAAACCAAAGAAGTGATGGATACCATAATAGCGCTAGATGCCAAAGTAGCAACCCAGGGATCCCATGGTGAAGAAAGATCGGCACTATGATGACTACTACTGATATGACTATCGTTGGGCAGATATGAATTTCTTAAATAGAAAATACTAATACTGGGCTCAGTCGACACAGAGACTTCATGGTAAGCAAAATAGGAGGAATGATATCCTGGTTAGTAATATGGGTGCTCTTCCGTCTGATGAAATTTCATTTTTAAGCCCAGTTGTATAAAGCTAAAACAAGAGTTTGCCAGGCTTTCATGGGATGTCCTCTTCTTCCTAAGCCCTTAGAACTACTCGGTGATTTATAATATATATTCTTTGCCTTTGAGTGTCGAATGTGTAATTCCGCGTTTACGACAACTCTTACAGGTACAGATACAACTCTTGGGGATATCATAGGATGTGAGCTTAAACAGTCGAGGCTTGAGATTGTCAGTTTGGAAATGTGCCGCCATGAGATAATTCCGATGGGTGCAGGAGAGAACAAATCAAATCAGATGGTTCTATTTCTCAATCTTGCTGACTTGTTCCTACGAAACTAAGAGGCCGAAAAGATTGAGAAAAAATCGGTCATTTACAACCACTAATGAATGATTCCTCGAAATTTAAGGATTAGTAATCCTTTTTTAGAATTTAAATGGATTCGGTCCTTTACATATCGTTGTCTTACTCCATCACTTTTAAGAAACAAGAAAATAATAGTCTAACAAATCGCTGTCTTTTACATATCGTTGTCTTACTCCATGAAGAACTTAGAGAGCCAACGCGTCGTCGTGGTGGAGGAGATATGACACGCTGCGGCCAAAATGAGAATGCTCCAGTTGGTGAATCATGGAGTGGAATAGGAAAAATAGAAGCATGCCAACGTGCAATGGCAAGAAACGCACGGCGGGGTGGGAAAATATGGGTACGTATATTTCCCGCCAAACCTAATAACCTAAGACCTACAGAAACATGTATGGGTTTAGGGAAGAGATCTCCCGAATATTGGGTACATGTCGTTAAACCGAGCAGGATACTTTATGAAATGGGCAAAGTATGAGACTTGCTAATTGCCCGAAGTGAGAAGCAAAAATACTCTGATAATAAAGACGTTTCTTTGTAATATCATCATGACTCTTGAAGTCATGCGCGGTAGCAGTACCAAATCAAATACGACGAGTACTAGGGTCCTGAGCTAAACCTTGAAAATCTTAATGCCATAATGCCTTTCAAATCCTCCAAGCCATTATCCTACCACAATAATTCTTGCTAAGAAGAATGCCCATATTGTGGCAATTCCGCTAGAAGGTAATGGGTTATCCCTACAACACGTCCTTGTATAATGCTCAAGGCTCTAGGCTGAGTAGCAGGAGCAACTTTTAATTTATTATGAGCCCAAACGATTGATTCAATAAGTTCTTGCCAATAACCACGACCGCTGAATAGAAACATTAAACTAAAAGCCCATACAAAATGAGCACCTAGGAAGAAGAGGCCATATGCAGATAATGAAGAACCATAAGACTGAATTACTTGGGATGCCTGTGCCCATAAGAAATCGCGAAGCCATCCATTAATAGTAATGGAACTCTGTGCAAAGTTTCCGCCCGTGATATGAGTTACCACCCCCTGATCACTGACACTACCCCAAAGATATGATTACGTTTGGATGGTTTTTTATTGTATGGTATTTGTAAATTGAAACAACTCATAAATTGTAAATGTGGTATTTACGTGTTATTTTAGGAAATTGAGGATTAAATGGTCTTGGTTTCAGTATCGACGAATGATGTCATCTATCCGTAAAGAAGACAAGGAAGAGCACATTTAGCACAAGTGTTAGAGTTTTGGCTTTGGTAAGCGCCTCTTTACTTCAAATCTGGCTGGATAAGAAGATTCATATTCCCTTCTATGCCAGTCCTTGGTGGTAAGCCCCTTGTTCATCGATGATTTCCTTGCTTTTTTATTCAATGGTTGACTTGTAGTTAGCTGCACCCTAAAATGATGTGTTAGAGAGAAAAGAGCCCATGATGAGTAGTAACCAAAAGGTTTTCCGGAAATGAAATCAACTCAAATTAGGACGAGTCATAATTTGGAGTCTAACGAACACATTCGATTCACTGATGTTATGACGCGCAACCGACATAGTGTACATATGCTTTGTCTGGTTTATAACGATCGATCGTGCTCTTCCGCAATTTAACGAGAGTTCATGGAAAGATGCTTATAGATCGGCCTCTTGGTTTGTAGGTTAACTTATTTCAAGGCGGGAGGACTGCACCAACAAATTTTTGTTATATTGGTTGATCGACTTGTTATACATGTCCACCGCTTTCAAGGAAGGTTGCCAACCCTACAAATTTGTTGCTTGTTATATAAGATGTTGCCCATATATTTTCGTGAAACGTATAATTATAGTTAGTTGAAACTTAGGGGTCGTTTGGATGAACCAATTGTAAAATGAGTCAATTGGATAGAATGATTCGTTTTAGAATAGTTTCATATTGGGGCTGAGACATTTTGCCCAAATTGCCTTGTTTGGTTCGGCATTTGTAGGTAAGAACTTCATTTTTGTCTTATTGGGAAGATGAAGCTTAAATACCTAATTGCCCTTCATTATTGAATTTTTTATTAACCCTTCTTGTCCATCAGATACCCATTTTCTTTCCTCCACCAAAACCCCAACGATTCCCATTCCCCCAATTTGTCTCTCTCTCTCTCTATCTCCTCCCTTACCCTCAATCCCTCATGACGATCCCAAATCTAGAAGCACCCAGAAAACCAAGAATAATCAATAAGCTAGGAGTAAACAATCTTCCAGCACTAGCAAGGAAGGATCGGCGCTTTGCCACTGCAAAAGTGTCCAATCGGTAGAAAACAAACAACATTTTTTCCCCGTTCATTAGAAGAACCAGTGAGGCTTGGTCTTTGGCTGCAACGGAGAGGAAAAAGAGCTTTTTGAGTTCAGCATTTGAAGCTTGCAAAGAAAGAGAGAGAAAGGACAAATTTTTAGCTGACCACCCCTAAATCCTCGAGTAGATCAAGTATTTGAACAAATTCATCAATTTTAGGGTTAGGATTGGGGTTTTGGATTTGAAAGAGGGATAGATTGGAGATAAATCGAAGAGAATCGCAGCCCGTATCCTTGGAACGATCTCGAAGTCGTTGGAAGTTCCTTTGCAGTTTGCATCTTCTGTAGCTCTTCTTCCTTCAACAGCAGCGAGATAGGATAAAGAAGACAGATATACAAGAAAGAGAGTGGAAAAGGTAAAGGGCACATGTGGGTTTATAATTAAAAAGGAGGGACAAGATTGGCAACAGATGGTGAAAAACGGGACAATCTCAATTGTCTGCCCCCCTAGCAGGTAATTACAATTGCCTCCTAACGCGTCAAAGTAGAATCCCCATACGCCAATTGCTTCATTCAAGTTTTCGTATGCCAAATGGGTCAATGTGGCCCAATTGACTCATAATGAGTCAATTGGGAACAATTGATCCATCACAATGCTTCATCCAAACGACCCCTTATGTTCCACGGAGAATATTATGTCATTTTAGGGTGTATTAGATGATACATATGTTATAGGAATGAAAGGTGTCACAATTGTAGGAAAATGAGCAAAAATTAGATATCACGACCAGAGGGTGTAGATCACGGCAGGAAAGTGAAGACACAAAGTGGAGCATGTAGATTGTGGCCTCCAAGTAAGAGATCGCGCTTGTGATCTATAGGGCCTCAACGTGAACTACTGGAGCAGCCACCAAGGAATGACTAGAGAGATACGACATTCGAATCACGACTACTGATGTCCCAGCCCGCGAGAAAGATCGCGACCGTGACTCATGGATCAAAATCATGAAGTCAAGTTGCGATCTCCTAAGCCAGCAAGAAGTAAAGTCGCTGCATCCAAGATCGAGGCCTCCTTCCCTTAAATCACAACCGCGAACTTTCTGCCTGCATCCATGAACTTGCCCGAAATTCTTAAATTTATAATTAGGGGAGTCCTTCCCCTTTACAAGAGAGCTAAAATCACTTGGTAAATTTTTAGTTTTAGAGAGAGGTTAGAGAGAGAAGCTGAAGGAAGGAGAAGGAGAAGAAGGAGGAGCCAAAAAGGAAGGAACGCTCCACCCATCTCTAGTTTTCTTCCCAATTCTTTCATGTATCTTCTTTCCCCGTTTATGGGGTAGTTACATAAGGTTTTAGGGGTTTAATCCCAAACCCTAGATATAGGTTTTTTTTATGTAGATGTAATTTTGTTAGGGTTTGTGAATGAATGAGTGTGCTTAGAGTTTATATGCTTTATATATGCTAATTATGTTTTAAACCTTCTCTTTAATTCTTTTCATGGTATCCCTCTACTTAAGAGTGCATGAATTAGACTGGATTGAGCGGTTTGGCTTCTTCCATGTATCTTCTTCCCCCCTTTATGGGATAGTTACCTAAGGTTTTAGGATTTAATCCCCAAACTTTAGATTTAGGTTTTACTATGTAGATGTAATTCTGTTAGGGTTTGTGAATGAATGAGTTTGACTAGAGTTTATATACTTTATCTATGGTAATTATGCTTTGAACCTTGTCTCTCCAATTCTTTTCATGGTAGCCTACTACTTAAGAGTGCATGAATTAAACTAGATTTGAGCGGTTTGGCTTGTTATGGTAGATGAATGATTTATGTGCCTGATTGGTGGAAGAGGTGACCATCCCCTCCCAGTCGGGATGCCCACCTAGAAAATGTTAGAGTGATGCATGTGTGACCATCGGCATGTCCAGCTCGTGTGCATAGACGTTAAACCTATTGGAAGGGGCTAGACTGCATCCCTACTATTGTGAACCAGATTGAGGTGACATTGGGTAAGGGAATCTCGTATTAGGAGGGGGACTAGTTGCATTCCCATTGATCTAGTCCCCACATTTGTGAGTCACGTACCTTGTTTCCCACAAACCGACATAATTATCTTTTGCATGGTAGATCTAATATCTAGGGCGAGAGTGATACCCCGAAGTACATGCTTTTTTCTTATCTCTGCTCTCTTCACCAGTAGTTTCCATTTGTCCTCCAAAATAAAACCTAAACGCAATTGACTTAATAATGACCGAGTGAGAAGTAGTCTAGGCTATCGAGACCTGTGAATATGATATTGGTCGAACAACATACTAACAATGATGTCTTGAGTTATACTTGGCTCAAGATGAGTTAGTTAGTTCGAGACGTGTAACCGATTTAATAACCCGCATGGGGTCGCGACCAATCATATCCATGTAACATCCAAAATCAAGATTCTATATGCAAACATTCCAACCATATATATCCGTGAATCCTAAGAACACTAATATTATGGTAGTGACAACGAAGATGTGACAGCCAAGATGCAAGTTTGGATAGAAGAAGTCCCAGTTTCAAGATTTGACGGCCTCCATTCCTACATAACCCCTGCAATGACCACTGACTAGAGTATGTGCTCGTTTTAACTGCTCCTATTATTTTGTTCTCTATTTGTATGAGGTTGTAGACTACCCAGCATTGATAAGAGTGGGCATCTATCGATTTATATCAAAATCGACGAGATAGAATCGGAGCATACCAAAATAAATAAATAAAAGTTGAGGACCAAAACTGTATCAAAATCATGTTTGTTCGACTCGATCTGATTTTAATTCAATTTTGATTCACTTTTTTATTACACTTAAGACAATTCTTAAAATCGAAACCAAATCAAAAATATATTTGATCGTATCGATTCAGTAAAATTCAATTCAATTCAATGTAGAACCAATCGTTGCTCAAATCGGCCAACAATCATGTCAGGTTGTCTTCCACTTACTTCTTGGCTAACAAACAGTCCCACTCTTGACAGTCCAAAGGTTTTCCGGACAGCAATTATTTTGCCTAGTGCGAGCGAGCCCAAAGGCCCAATCAGCATCGGGCCGTCTCCAAACCAGAAAAAGCCACGCGTATAATAACAGCAACCGCTTTACCGCGACGGCGGGGCAGACGACGGCGGTGGCGGTGGCGGCAGCGGCAAAGCAATATACATTTTTTTTTTTATGAAAATCCAAATTGACAGTTTCTTGAAGCTAAGAAGTACAGAATACCTCTGCCAAGTGAATGGCTGTCGTCGTTACACACACCCATCCTTTCCACCCTCCTACCCGCCACAACCACACCCTTTCATAACCCCAATTCTCCTTCAATCTCCTTCTCTTCCTCCATAGCCCCTCTCCGTAATTGGTTTCCTTCTCCCCCAGCAGCCATGGCAGCGCTGCAGCAATCCCTTTCGCTAGCTTCCCCAGTCTCCCAACGCCACCATTATCAGCAACCCAGAGCAGCTCTTTCAGGTATTTATCTAACCCAGTTGGGGAATTTGGGATTCCTTGATATGTTACTCCCGCTCTTCACTTCACTTTCCATGGTCGATGAAATGTTCAATCTCTACTCTGTTTTCTACCAGGCTTGGCGCTCCATTGCTCAAGATCCCTCTTCAATGGCCAGTCCTTGCGCCTACCTTGTAACCACCGCACGGCTTCCATCAAGCGGAATTCACAGGGTTCGTCCGGGGTTGTGGTGACAATGATGGCGAAGCCATCAATTCAGTTCATCCAAGGAACCGATGAACAGACAATACCGGATGTGAAGCTCACCAAGTCGAGGGACGGCACCAACGGCATGGCCATATTCAACTTCGAGCAGCCTTCTGTGTTTGACTCGTCCGGTGAACTCGGCGACATCACTGGCTTCTTCATGATTGACGAGGAGGGTGTGCTTCAGTCGGTTGATGTCAGTGCCAAGTTTGTGAACGGGAAGCCGGCTCGCATCGAAGCCAAGTACGTGATGCGGACTCCCAGGGAGTGGGACAGGTTCATGAGGTTCATGGAGAGATATGCTAATGCGAATGGCTTGCAGTTTGTAAAGAAATGAGGCAATGTATGTTGCTTACTTACTTACACCCTTCTCTCTTTTCTGATATCTCACTTACAAGTTCTATTGTGTTCTTGTTCTCCATTTTAGCTTTTGCTTGTGCACATTAGTGGAAGTGAAGCTTCAGAAATGTTCTGGTCTGGTACCGTCTTCCGGAAGTGTTTTGTTGAATGAAAGCTATGGTTGCCATTTTGAATTTTCCAATGGCATCCGATTTTTCCAGAGGGATTCTGCTTTGACCTAGAGCATGTTACTTTCGTGCATTAGAGATCTCTTTTTGAGAATGTTGTCTGGTAAATGGAGTATGGTACTCTCTTCTGTATGAGAAAGGCAAAAGAGCAAGAATCTTCATTGAACATTACACTAATGTTGTAGGTAAGACAAGATCAAGAGTCTTGACTTGTTGAAGTAAGCTGAAAAACGATAACTCTATCTTAGCCAAGTAGAATATCTAAAGATGTATCTGAATGAGCATGGAATCCTCATCAGGTGCAATTCCAATAGTATGAAGTTAAGGTTGAACAAATGCTACTTGGTTGTCCCTTCCGTAAAACGCCACTGTTATTTCCTCTTCCATGTCACTGAGATAGGGCTTCTGATCCTGGTGAGGTGATTTTGAGAGTTTATCCATGTCAAATGGCCCTCTGCAAAGCTCAGCTTCTCCCTTGTCATTCTCTTCCTAGATATGAACCACAACCTATAGCTCAAAACCTGATTTCTTTGCTTGAAGTGGAGCTTTGTCGGTTTTACTCTGACCTTCACTCCCTCCGGAGCCTTCAGTTCCACCGAGTATATGGAATTCGGTCGGCCTACGTTTGTTAGTTTCCTCCTCATCATCTTCCTCCTTGTTCCCTGCCTGAAAATTACAGAAATGGAGGGGTAATTGAGGCTGAAACCTTTGTTCATCTTCAGCAGCTCGCTGCAACTTGCGTTCCTGTGTGTGATGGTGAAGATCTCTGATCTTGTATACCCAAGTGTGCATAGATGAGTAACATAATCTTCTGGCTTGATATCATATATCAGCCCTGGATAGATGGCTCTCTGGGGGTTCACATGTCCAGCTCCCATGGCGAAAACTCCAGCCGGTTTATCGCCATCCATTATGGGATTCCCAGAATGGTCAGTTACATCTGCGGTGGTCAGCATTGCAGATTTAACAGCTGCAGGGCTCCATTTTGGGTGAGCTGATCTTATCAGTGCTGCAATTCCACTGACATGGGGACACGCCATGGATGTTCCTGACATGACAGTGAAATTCACCCTTCTGGAATCTTCTGGAAGACCTGTAGGCCCCAGGTTTTGAGGCCAAGCTGCAATGATGTTGACTCCAGGTGCTATTACATCTGGTTTCAGCACTGAGGGGTTGGTGAAGCTTGGTCCCCTGGCCGAAAACTGAGCCACTGCTGGTGCTCTGGACTTCCCAATCACAGTTCCACCAAACACAATGCGAGCTCTTGGATTTCTTGTGGAGTTGATATAAGCTTTCAGACGAAGTGATTCTGTGAAGCCCACCAATGTTGCAGGCAAGACGTGGACATCAACAGAATCCTCCTCCATATTGATGGCTGTGTTCGCTAGGATCATTGCAGCACCACCCGACTGCTTCACCACCTGACCCTTTTCAGCCCTTCCATTGACACCTCGGTCGCAGACCACCATCTTCCCCTGGATCTTTACCTTGGGGAGAGAACCTGCAAAACAGAATTCACTTCCCTTTTTGCCACCTGCTGGTGCGTAAACCAGTTCAAACTCCTTTGTGGTGCTTGGAAACTCGTTTCCCGGGAACATGGATTCCCCAGAGAGGAATTCACCATTCCCGAGTTGAACAATTGCTGGAAACTCCCTGTCCAGTGTGCTTGCTCCTATGGTTGCAATCCATGGAGCCTCATTGGCAACTGAATATTGGAGAGGACCACTGTTTCCAGCTGCACATACAACTGAAATCCCATGCTCCACTGCTCGAAAGCTACCGATTGCTATGCTGTCTGCAAAAAGTGGTAGCGGGAATCCTCCAATGGAGAGGGACAGGACATCAACTCCATCTCTGATAGCTGTGTCCATGGCAGCCAGGATATCAGAGCTGTAGCAGCCATTTGTCCAGCAAACTTTGTAGACGGCAATGTGAGCCCCAGGAGCCATCCCTCGAGCAACACCGCCACCATTCCCGAGCACGCTAGCCTTGGGAACCGAAGCACCTCCAGCGGTCGAAGAAGTGTGCGTGCCATGCCCGTGGGAATCTCTAGGCGATGCATATTCTTGAATCGTGTTTGCAGGCGACGACGAAGGAGAAGCCACCGTGTGACCTTTAGTGAAGAACCTCGCTCCAATGAGCTTCCTGTTGCAGTTTGAGGAATCAAAGTCTTGCCCTTGTTGGCAAATCCCTTTCCATTTCCCGGGAACGGGAGGCATTCCCCTGTCGTTGAAGCTCGGACTCTCGGGCCAGACTCCGGTGTCTAGAACCCCAATGATGGTGCCGTGGCCGAAACCAGACTGGTACCAAGCATCTTCTCTGGCAGGGGTGAGGCCCATGAACTTGTAGGAGTAAGTAGTGTGGAGCTGAAGCCTGGTGTCCGGCCTAACGGCGACGACACCAGGCAGCTTCTTCAGCAGGTCCAGCTCGGAATCAGAGAGCTGAGCAGCGAAGCCTTCCATGGCGGAGGTGTAGGAATAGAGGAGGCGGGTGGAAGAGTCGTCAGCTGAAACGGACTGCTCAAGGAAGGAAAGGTGCCAGTGAAACTTGGAGGGAAATGCAGAGCTTGTTGGTGTGAAACCATGTGGATGTGGGTGGAGCTGGACAATGTAGGTTTGCAGAGGCTTTGCATGAAGGCAGAGTAAGCAAGAGAAGAGGACATGGAGAAAGGTGACAACTTTAGCTTCCATTTGGGAAGTAGGTCAAGATCAAGTAGATGCTTGGAGATGGATGCATGGCTGGGGTCAAGAATCTCAGCAGGTATTTGTAGGAGCCGACCCTGAGTGTCCAAATAGAAGAATATGAAACTCGTGAAGCAAGAAGAGCTCTCCCTCACGAGGATCCTTTGTTGGCGGGAAGACAGAGAGAAGGAGTAAGGGTTATCTTCCTTTGTTTTGTTTGCAAACTCAAAACTCAGTAAGAGAGCTCTTTCCTCACGGGATGTTTTTTGGGTAGCTTTATTACAAGTTCCCATTGGCGCTTGAACCTTGAATTTCAAACGGAAGGGATCAATGTCTGTCTCTCTCTGCGTACTGGTTGTTTAGAGCTTTTTTTTTTAATCTGTTTGGGGGGGAGCTAGCGATGAATAAATGCTGCAGTACGACTATGGCGGGCAGGGGATTGCATTTATGGAAACGCTCTGCATTTAGAACTTATATACAGACGCATACACTAATGGCAGTGGCTCCTTTGTTCTCGTGCAGCTTGTGTTGGTCTGGACTTAAAAAGGACTCGCTTCTCATTGATTTTTGCTGTCAGATTCTTCTGTTCTTGCAGAGGGCGAGTGGGATTGGTTAATAAATATGGATGCAGTAATCACTTTTGATGGTTTTGCCCGAGTTGGAATGGAGATTGCCGTTCAGTTGAAGTATTGTTTACATTTTGTTTCTGGAATTTATCTGTCTGGGTTGCCCTGCTAGATTCAAGAATTGAGATTTGCGGAAGATGAACGGAATAATACGATTTTGATTGATTAGAGAAAAGTGCTATGTTCCTACTGTACAACTAGTAATACATATACCAACGGCCAAATTACTAGCTAGTACCTATAATCTACAAAATTACATCTAACTACCTGAAAGCAACACAATTACACTTTGTATCCTATACTACGAACCCCCCTCAAGTTGGAGCATGTACATCACACATGCTAGCTTGCCTATCAAGTCTTCAAACCGGTATATGGGCAGTGATTTGGTGAGTACACCAGCAGTCTCGCTGTTAGTAGGAATGTGAAAGATTTTGATTAATCCAACATCAAGCTTTTCTCGAATTAGGTGGCAATCTATTTCAATGTGTTTGGTCTTTTCACGAGCGATCGGGTTTTCTGCAATTCGAATAGCATAAGTATTATCACAGTACATTGAAAAAGGAGATGCAAATTAAACATTCAGATCATGAAATAAGTAATTTAACCATTGGAACTCACAAGATAAATCACCCATTGCTCTATACGTTGCTTCAGCAGAGGAACGACTAGCTGTAGTTTGTTTCTTTGATCTCTGTGAGATCAAAGATTTACCCATGAAGGCGCGGAAGCCAATAGTGGATCTTCTGGTATCTAGGCAACTAGCCTAGTCGGAGTCTGAGAATGCAAGAAGATTTTCATAATCGGCTGGAAAAAATAATCCATTGCTAGGATTATTTCGCACAAATCGGACTAATCTAGATGCAACGTGCATATGCATATCAATAGGAGAAGCAGCAAATTGAGGAAAATGATGAACTGCATACTGAATATCAGGTCGTGCAAAGATACAACAAACGCCCAATCAATCTTCGATAAGAAGAAAGGTCAAGAAGGGTATCACCAGAAGCAGCAGAGAGTCGAACGTTTGGTTCACCAGGAGAGGCAGCAACCTTTCCACCAAGGAGACTATAATCTGAAATAATATCTAAGGCAAACTTCCTTTGACACAAGGTTAGACCTTTAGAAGAATGAGATATTTTTAAACCAAGAAAATAGCGTAAAGGACCCAAAACTTCTTCTTTTCTGAAAGCAACATCTAGGTTTGGTTTAATCAATTTCATGCCATCTAGATCATCTTCAGTAAGAATGATATTGTAAACATACACTAATAGAGCTAGAAATATATTATTAGTATGTTTGCTAAAGAAAGTGTGATATGATATAGATTGATGGGGAACTTTCTGTTTCTTTCTTTCTTTATTAATGAATTACTCACCCTTATAAAAAAATGATCTGGATTGATGGAATAAAAGCATTATTAACATCCAATTGTCTTATGGACCAACCCTTAGTAGAAGCTAAAGCTAAAAAGTGCGAGCAATGGTCATTTTGGCCACCGAAGAAAAGGTTTCGAGATTATCAATACCTTAAGTTTGTTTGTAACCTTTTTTTACTAGTTTGTTTGTAACCTTTTTTTACTAGACGAGCTTTAAAACATTCCACAGTAACTTCAACCTTATACTTAATTCTATAAACCCATTTGGTGTGTATGCTACTACCCTCGTGCCGGTTGTGTCAATCGTTTGCACGGTCCATCTAACTGCCCCATTCTGAGACAAGTATTACTCAAAATGACGATGCTAGTATAGTGGCTACCAATGTCGTATTCTACGGGTCTCCGGCTTCCCAGCACCGAGCTCCATGAATGTGAGCAGAAGGAATCGATTGATTTTGAAGGGAGAGGGGGGGATGTGGGAGGAAATCGGAAGTCGGAACCCCAAAATTGCTACTAGAAGGGTGTTTGAAGGGTGAAAGTCAGAGAACGAGATAGAGAACGGCGAGGGAGAATCCGGCGCGGCAGAGAGAGGTGGAAGCGTTGGAGGAGAGGGATGGTTGCTGGCGGCGGAGGAGAAGGGAAAGGAGGATGGATGTGGTTTTCGGGCAGTGTTATTAAAGCCGAGCCGCTCGGCCCGGCCGGTAAAACCGCCACCCGGTCACAAAATCGGCTCGAAACAGTGTAAAAGCTGCTCCGGTTTTATGTAGCGGTTGGCAAGCGGCCGAGGCGGTTAACCGATCGAGCCGATCGAGCCGCTCATCCGCCTTTTTGCAATTCAGCCACTAAATTTAATTAAAAAAATTGCAGAAAATTGAAAATTGAAATAAACCAAAAATGTCGGGCTCTCAAACCGAATCCTTATTTCCTTTTCACAATTTCGAAGGAAAGAGATGAGCTCTAATTAAGAAATGTCTACTATTTATTACTGATAACGTTTATTAGGTACCGGTTCTCTAACGGTTTTTAAACGATCTATTGCCGGTTGGACCACTAAAGTGCGAGCCGTTCGCATTACCGGGTCATGCTTCAGTTCAGTTCTGACAACATTGGTTTCGGGGGAAGAAGGGGGTTTGGGAAATGGTTTTTTTTCCTCGATTGAGGTGAGAGAGGAGGGATAAATTGAGAGGGTTTTTTCATTTATTATTATTATTAGCAAAGAAAATGAATACAAAAATTCAAAAAATAAAAAAATTTAGTCAGTGCTCGCTGACGTGGAAAGTGAGATGGTCATTGACTAACGGTCAACTCCAATTTGACGGTCAAACCCGGTTCAAGGCTAGGGATGGCAACAAAACCCGAACCCACGGGTACCCACCCGACCCAACCCGGTCAACGCGGGTAAAATCCGTGTTGACGGGTTTTGGGCCGGGTTTGGGTTTAAACTCATTCGCTATTCATCGGGTTGGGTTGGGTTTGAGTTTAGGTAAACCCGACCCATGGGCAGTGGCAGAGCCAGAAAATTGGCCAAGGGGGTATTTTTATCATATCATAAAAAATCACATATACAATAGAAAAGTCAACTTTAAATGAAAAAAAAGTCAACAACACAATACTGTAAATTCTTACTATTACATTAAAATAGTTTTACGTACACCGGTTACAACGTCAAACAAATAAGTTCAGTACATACAAGTCAAGACTTCCATTCATCAAATATTACAAATTAGAACTTAGAAGTACCTTGGAATTGATCTTGTGAAACAAACAAGTGAACCTCAATTGGTACTTCTTGAATTTCAGCTTTGTTTAAACAAAAGAAGAAATTTCTCTGTTGTAGAGCTACAAAAGAAATGAGCGAGTTTAAACAAAAGATAACAATTTATTACTATAAATATAGACGAAAGTGCATTGAATAACAAAACTCACTCGGTTGAGATGGTAAGAAATTCTTCTTGCAACTGAATGATCACTGGTTCGAATTTGTATATACCCCTACTCGGGAAAAAAAATCCAAACCCCCCCTCCTCTCCATGTGGCTCCGCCACTGCTCATGGGTACCCCGCTCACACCCATATAGTTAATTTTCTCGGTATATTTAATATTCTAAACAACTAATCTTATATATGTTTGGAGAGACATGTCTCATTTTTTCTTTCTAATTGTGTAGAATGAAGTTGATGTTATCGAGTGGAGAGTGAAGAAACTTAATTGAAAAAGAAGCTTTCAATTAATCATGTTATTTATGGATAATTTGTGATTTGCTTCAATTTTCTTGAGTTTTCTAGATTGGTGTTGAACAATTTGTATAGTTAATTTGTGATTTGCTTGGATTTTCTAGAATGGTGTTTTATATATGGATAATTTGTATTGAGAGATTGATATTTGACTTTAATTTTGATAGGAACTTGTCATTGTAAATTTTTTACGACAAAAACCCGTGGGTACCCATGAACCCGCGGATACCCAGCGGGTTGGGTTGGGTTTGAGTTTTTCAAACCCAATGGGTTTTACCCCGGATTTTTTTCACGGACAAACCCATGGGTTTGGGTTTGGCAAAACCCGACCCAACACGACCCATTGCCATCCCTAAGGCCAAGTTAGATAGTATGGTACATAGTTCAAGTCTGGATAGCAATTTCGGAAACCACGAGCCAAAGTAGAAAGTTTGTGTATAGTTCGGATGCCAAACCCAAACCAACACGACCCATTGCCATCCCTAAGGCCAAGTTAGATAGTATGGTACATAGTTCAAGTCTGGATAGCAATTTCGGAAACCACGAGCCAAAGTAGAAAGTTTGTGTATAGTTCGGACCAAACTAAGGTATTTGACTCTAAAATTTAGAGATTATAAAGCCAATAAACTATTTTCATTTTTGTAAGTGTATTTTCATATATCTGGTACAGAATAATAAAAATACATACGAATCACAAGTCGACATGTGGTTTTGGGTCCTTCGAACTCCTCCTTCCCAGGTTGTAGCTAAATCTTGTCCTTCAAAATAAGAATTGGAATAAACCACAATCCAAATTTGCTGTCACATGGTAAACGCACCTGGCGTCTAACAATTGTAACAGCAGCTCCTGCTCCATCACTCCTAGAGAGCTCAGACCCTCCACCGACAGCGGACTGTCACTAGCTAGCTTGGAGAAAAGCATTTCGGAAAAGGTCCCATCTCTGCATCGACTCCTTTATTGTTTAGCTATGGCCACCCTGACTATGAAACATGAAACGTTTCTAGTGCGACATCAATTCCAGCCACTCCACAAAGAATGGGAAGCTAAAAAGTAAGAACTTCAAACTCGATAGATCAAAAAAGGAAAAGAAGAACTCGATAAGCCCTC